TTTGTGCGGCTTTCTTGCTGTGAATCGTATCGGGTCAACCTCGTTAATCAGGTCACTCCAGCCTCAAACACAGGGTCTCCCTTTTCGCAGCATGTCGCCAGCCGTGCAAGGACCCCAACTCCCCCCTCATTTGCACGAACATTTATCCTAGATAATCCTTACACTTAGGTCCCGATGTTAGCGCATACACACACACATCTGAGGTATAAATACACACCCTCAAACCCCACACATGACACGACACCAACGTGGGTATGTTCTGTAATAAGCGGTGTGTCCACGTCCTCTCCACGTCTTCGTTGCGGGTTGCAGGGTAGGTTCACAGGGCCAGAGTTAACTCTTTTTCAGGGGAAGACACTGTAACTGTGCGCCACATGGCTCCGCCCTTCAAGAGACCAAACTTTAACTACTAGTGATAAGTCCGAAATGTCAAATTTGAGAAAATAACAGGTCTAGCATGCCGCCCTGACTGTGATTGGGACTTATTTGGTATCACCATGATTAATTAAGGTCTTCTAATGAAAACTGATTTTAGAAGGTGGAAGTTCCAGTAAAAAGCTTGATCTTGTTATGATCCAAAACCTCGCTGTTTGGCTCAGCATAACAGAAAGGACACGAGAACTGACATTCAGTAAAATGCATCTTAAGTGCATTCGCTCTAAAAAAAGATAATTTAAGAGGTTTGTGAATTTAAACTCTCAAAAAATTTATTGGCCAGATTTGTGGATGAGAACCACCAGGTACCGTTACTTTGGGCCTTTCACACGAGGCATGATAATGCAGGGAGATTCATCATGGTCAAAGCCCAAACCTGCCAACCACTGAGAGTTGTGACTAGGATAACAATCTCTACAAAGTCACTCATCTGCAATGTCTTTAGTTTATCAGGAATTTGATGCGCACGCACTTTTCTACACATCACTTGTTCGGACTTGACTGGTTTTTATTTGGTGCCAACGATTTTTTATCCTTGCTCTGAAGTCACAATTTACCTCCGGAAATTAGCTTTAATTACATTTTTTGTTACAGAAAAAAGAAACACTAGAGTAGAGCTAGACCTTGGAGGCGTGAAAATAGATGAGTAACTATATAAAGCCAATGTCAATAAAGATTATTCAAGACAAACTTCATCCTCATGGGTTGATTAATTCAAGACAAACTTTATGCTTATTGGTTGCAATATACAAATTAGCAGTTTTATAGTGTCACTATGCAATAATATAATCCCCAGCACCGTTTTTGGTTCATTTCCACTGTCGGCATAATTAACATTAGGAATGTAAATTTTAGAACCCTATTTTTTACTATTAAACATCTTTACAGTATGATTTCTGGTTCCTAATGTCATATTTGCAAACAGTATTTCGATTTTCATTGACGGTGTAAAGGGTTGATTAGATTACATCAACCGCGTTTAAAAAATACAGACACAGTGTTAACCATTTAAAATTTCATGTCTTGGAACAAGACGTTTTGAACAGTCGGACAATGAAATCAGAGACGTGGACTGACAAAAATTAGAAAAGATGAATTTATATTAAAAATAATACTGCAACAAACTGGTCGAAACTGTCAAATGTAATGGTTCGTTGATGGTTTTCATTATTGTTTTTTCCACTTTTTTGCTAATTTTATTTCTTCGTGGAGGAAAAACACCTTTTGCAATGATCTGCATACTTACATAACCGCATTCGTGAAACTTCTAATAATTTCAACAATTAATTAGGTTAGCAAATTTCAGTAAACAGGTGGCCGTTTAAAGAAGTTGGCTGCTGCACGCATGTGCTCCTAAAAAAGGTTTAAATAGACAATGTGTGATTTCGCAAAACTTTATGCATCTTTACCTAGTCAAGCCAAACCAATGGGATAAATTGTCAAGTTAAATTGAAAGTTGAATCAAACACACGCATTATGTATCACATGAAACCACCTCAAATAAATCTTTTGTGATTTATGAACATCGCATTTGACCTACGAGAGCATTTTATGTTTAAGAACAAAGAAAGATAAGTGAGGATGGATTGTTTACACAAATTCCATCTAGGATATTTCAGTATCAAGCGTATCTGAGCGTGTCGGTCGATGGCAAATGGTCAAAACTTCATCAACAAAGTAAATACTTCTGACCTGTAGTCAAATGTAGTGTAGCAATGGACGTGTGTTGCGTTGCAAAATGTTTGACATTCATGGTCCAATCTTGTTGAACATTATTCATGGGTACGAAATACAAATGAACTTTACTCAAACCACATGAATCTACAATAATTTTCTATGACACTGCATTTTAAGGCACCCCGCGGCTTGGCATCCGTTATAGCCCGCTGGATCAATTAAAAATTATTTATTATGTTTTATTTGGAATTTTACTTCAAAACCGAAATCGCGATTAGATAAATTCAAAAATCGTGGTGCTGACATCCAGACCCATCTTACATTATAAAAAATCAGGCATTCGTAGAAATCTAGTTTATTATTTGCACTCTTTTTACATATAGCATGGTCACAGAAACCGATCTTTTGGTTCGTGGATAGGCTTCCACTTGTTGTTACCGTACAATTTGGCTTAGACCTTACCATCATCCCAATCAGCTGCCTCCGGCTATTTATTTAAAGAGTCTGTGTTGCAACGAAAATTTCCTGACTCGTAATGCTTAAACTTACCACACAGTTTAATATAGATATAGCTAAAAATTGATATCAGTCTATAACTGTTCAAAAAATAATTGAATTTGAGAAACTGCTTCATGAAATGCAATTTAGACAATATGAAAGATAAAATATCACTAAACATTCGACTCACTAACATTGGCATTGCATGACTACTTTCAAAAAACTGAATTTTTTCCGAATAGAATCAATTTTTCAAAAAAGCAATGAGTGCATAATTTACAGGGTATGATGCACGCCAGGCCTGCCAGTTCTTTGTCCTCTCGTCATCCACAAGCCACAATAATGGGCCTGCGGGACATCTCTGACCCCTCCAGCACCCATTTTCTCCTTACTCACACGCCAGCTCGCTCAGCATGCTCCGAAAGTGCCGCTGTTCCTGAGGGACAAAATTAGTATCAATTTCTCCTTTTAGTAACAGTACAGGTACATTAAAAATACAAATGATTTAAAAAAGCATCAAACATGCTACAGCAGCATCACACAGGGATATGGGATTTTTATAAGATAAATAATGGTTCAAAAAAACACCAAGATCATGGGTCGACACAACAAATTTACACATAGCTCATAGGTTAACCTCAAGTCATTTGCATAAAAATCATAACAACATGATTTTTTACTGATTTGTACTTAGACCAACATATCTAAAAATCCGTTTGCTAGTCTAATTTGAGGAATTTTGCTTTAAAAACTGTAAAACAACACATAGGGGCCTAAATGTAGGTGTTTGTGCAGTACTGTCCAAATTAACTCATAACTCAAATATGGGACAAGAAAAAACAGAAGCTTTTTGGAAAAAATCACTTAAGAGAAACGATAGTAATACGATTTTTCACAACACTTAGGAAAGTAAAAAAGGAATAGCTTATTCCTCAAAAAGGTACCACAGACGATTCTAAGACCTGCTCAACTGAGTTTATCATAAATTTATATATCAAACGGAAATCAAAATAATGGGTTTTGAATGAGTCATGCAGCTCTTTTAAATTTAAACTGATTACTTAAAAATGGACTTGTAGCTAATGCAACAGCATATCTAAAAAGTCTTAAGTGCACCTATTCAAATATTTTTCCAAGAATTTTAATTTATGAAACCTTGTTTGTTGGTACTTTTAACCCACAGTTATGGAGCTAAAGTGAATATATACTGACCAATCAGAGAAGTTGCGGTCGTGGAAATAGACTTTTTTTCTATTTCTCCTTTTTTGACACCTGATGGACTCTGTAGAAGCCAATGAACAGCAGAACCATCATATCGGTGAAGCCTTTCGCAAAGTTCATGAATTAGTTAATATACCACTGTCTGAGGATGTTCCAGCCATTCAGGCGGCAAATTTTTCAGTCATGTATCAGGTACTAATGTAGTTTATTTATTAGTGGTGTATAGGCCAACACCGATACAAACTTCGGTGACATAACGGCTTTTAAATCTGCATTTGCTGGTTCTTATGAAGATGCTATCGTCTATGCCGAGCTCCAGGATCTTTATAATCAAGGACAGGAGTACGCCATCATGCTCTATACTTGGCGTTCAATTTCTCGCGCACTTCCGCATGTAGGTCCTTGTGCCTATTTCTTATGAAGGTCAACAGATCCGGTCAAATGAACAGCCACATCGATTGGAAATTTACCAGAAAACGCTGGAGCTACTGGAACCACATGCTAAGAAGTTGCGCAGTTTCATGCTTTTTCAAGTAGTGTTTATCTTAATTTATTCGCCAGGAAAATGCAATAGACTGCTTTCTAGGGAAATTAAAGGGTTTATCCAGAAAAGAATCTCATCACAAATCTGGCTTCATGAATCAAGCGTATATGCTTATGCTAGGGAAGATGCTAAAAATGTTTGCACTTCTCGATGAAATGAAAAATATGAAAGCTAGTATGAAAAATGACTTTTCCCACTACAAACGGTTCGTACTAAATGATATCTTATGTATCCCATAGAGCATCCCAATTTATGCAAAACGGAGGAAGTGATTGTTCCTCTGATAGTCAAATGACAGTCAATGAGATGCAAAAAGTCAGCATGTTTCTTGCTACTCAAAAAATAATCCGTGATAAACTCAAAGATAATCTTTCTCAGATTGATGGCTTCGAGGATATTCTTGCTGAAATCATCAACAGTAGTGTTAGCATGTACGAAAATCATGTTTACGTGTTGCCTGAGGAGAAACACACTCTTGTCATGGTAATTGCCTTTTTAGCTTGTCCAATATCGATTCAGGTTATCGCCTTCTCCCTTTACTTGCTCGATTCGTCGAAAATAGTTGATGGGAAGCAGGTCGGTGTGACCATCCCAAAAATGTCCAAAAAGATCAATATAAACAAAATTGACAAGATCTTTAAGGTATGTTTTTTTTAGCAGTACCTTATTTTATAGGAATGTGAAGTGGTCAATCTTTTTGGTGACATGAGTTTGGAACCCTTTAGTTATGTGAAGCAAACACTGTCGTTTGATGCGTCCAAATGGCCAGAGTGTACTGGTACGCGAGTATCAAGTCAAGGAGTTTTGCTGACTCATATGAATCGCTTCCTGTATGTCCAACTTCTACCTTGCTTGTATTTTCGAGTCTATTTCCGCATAGTGCAGGCACGAGTACATTTTAGTAGGATTCGAGGTCAATCTGTATACCTTACATATAGTGTGTGGTTTCGTGGTTTTATTGTTCATTATAAACCTGCTCCAACTGCACCTTGACTGACGATTTATTCTGATCAATTTGAAGTGGTCTCGCGTTAAGCTTCGAGTATTTAAACCAGTGATGGGCACTTTCTTTGTTTTGCGCTTTGTTGTTGTCGGAAAACTTGAAAGCTCTTTCGAACCTGTAAAAATTTGTGGCTTATTTCAATGCTGCTGTAAATGTGTGGTTTAGAATGTGTAGAGGGTGGCATAGATACAATTAAGACTCTGAGTGGCAGTAGCCGTCATTTAGCATTTTATTCACAAAATTCGTTATTCAAGCCTGGTGAATTGATTCGTCTCTGAATAAACCCGTCAACACTGTCAGAAAACTGCGGCTCAAGTGTAGAAAGGCCGTAATTACTGTGAACCAGTAAAGGCGGTAGGAGGAGTTGACTTGTGTCCATTTGGTAATGGCCATCGTGCAGCACCGCCTGTTGCCACTGTGCTGCGCTTTTGGCTTCAGTGAATCCTGCTCAAAATCAACCGAATAAGTTATTAGATTGGTCGAAAAAAATTATTCTGTTTTCCACTTGACGACTTTATACCATGTACTTCCGTGAGGACTTGAATGAATTGTTTGAATGTGCATGCTATAGGGAGTGGACCACTTACATTACAAATGTTGCTTGATGTGGACTTTGCAGGTTGGAATTCTCACTGACAGCCTAAAGTAGTTTTCTTTTGTAAACAGATTTTGCGAATTTCGCCTAAGTAAGGTCTGTCAGTGTTCAGAAAGATGGAGGTTATTTGTCAGCTTAAGTGACAAATACATAGTGAAATGACAGTTAAATACTTCGAAGGGCTATTGAAATTGAACTAGTCTTCCCTTTTCTCTTGGGTCGGGCAATCTTTGTGCTGATTCAGAATTCAAGTTATGCGTTACTTTTTTTGTTGGATAGAAATGAATATACGTCACTAACGGCTGATCTTGCTTGGCACACGAATATCGCGGTTACGAGAACAAGCGAGCGTTCTGTCGCCGAGAACCGCGAACTCTACGACCTCGCCCTTCGAGGACTTCAGTGCCTCTCGTCCTGGTCTGTCCAGGTGTTGGACACCTTCACGTGGAAGTTGGCACACTGCGCCGACGAACACACAAATAGGGAATGCCCCAGTGACGCTGAAAACTACGAGCGAGCCACCCGCTATAATTACTCTTCAGAAGAACGATGTGCACTAATTAGACTCGTTACTATGATCAAGTCAGTCCAAACACAGTTGCTTCGCTTGGAGACTAATTATTCAGAAGCTATTCGCCGGTCTGTCTACCTCGATTTGCACGGCCTTTTAAACCATTTTCACAACCTTCTCGCCAAGGCGAATAGTAAGAAGAAGGATAAAATTAAGCTGAACCGACTGGTGCATGCTCTTCAGGCTACTTGTGCTGACCAGACCATGGTGGATGCAGTTGAAGCAGACCTAATAATGACTGGTTCGAGTAGTAGTGGAGGCGGGAAGTCGGGCTGGGGCGGTCGGTCAGTTTCGTCAAAGGCCTCAGCGCAAAATAGCCTCACTTCCAGCTCGAATTCAACCCTGGCCAAGGCGGCGGCTTCGATGTCTGGCACTCCTATGCGTCGTGTCGGTCCCTCCTCCACGCAACTCTACCTCGTGCGGACTATCCTCGAGTTGATGATCGATCAGGCCTCACCGGCAGCAAAGTATCACTCGCTTAGAAAGGAGCTTGACAGCAGCACAATGACTGCAATTGAGGTCTTCTTAAAGAATAGCTTTTATTGGCCATATCTCCTAAACTTTAGTGGTGAGACTTGGTTATTATTCCTCCTATTTACTGCTATTCCAGGCGAAATTTCCTTCTATCAGCATCAGTAAGGGCTCACACAGCACCTTGACACGAATGTTGTTTTAACTGCTTATGTAGTCACACGGGGCCTCCCTGGCATGTTTTGTTTGGTGTTTCCACCCACTTGCTTCAGACCTGCTCGGACTGCTCAATAACCGGATCTCAAACACACACGCTTTTTTTGAAACACCTAGGTTGGCTGCTGCCAGGTGTCAAGCCCAGAGAGGCTGAATGTGAATGTGTCAAGGGAGTCGATGGTTCTTCTTTAAATTCTGGGTTTTTCATGTCAATCGCTGGGCTACGGCAAACAGTTAGTCGGACACCTCTAAGAGTAAAAATTTAGTAAATGTGGTCGGTTGTTCGATCTTTAAGATGGGTAATTGGTCCACTAGGACTGAATATTTAACATTAGATTATGAATAAGTTCGTGTCTTAAAAAGGTATGCGCCGCTTAGGCTAAAAAGTGCTCATTTTCACTCATTGTAAGACTACACACGGAATTTGGTTTGTCGTCGTTTATCAACCACTAATTTTCCCTAATCTACTCATAACTGTTGCTATTTACTGCTTTCGGTGCGTTGTTTGGATGATAATACCGATATTCTGATGCCATTTACCACCTTATTGAATGTAATACTTGTTTTGTGGTTTCGTTTGATTTAAATTTTATAGTTTGCAAGCGATTGTTAATTATTGTGTTTGCTCTAGTACAATTTTTGTTTACCCCTATTATTCTATTAAAAACTAACACCGATATTCTTCAGAAACCCTGGTCAAATGCTGCGACCTCTCCCAGTTGTGGTATCGTGAATTCTTCCTGGAGATCGCTAATGGCACACGAATTCAGTTTCCTATCGAAATGAGCCTTCCATGGATCCTTACTGACCACATCTTGGAGACGCACGATCCCGCTCTGATGGAGTCGCTGCTCTACCCTCTGGACCTCTACAACGACGCCGCCGACTGTGCGCTAAACCGTTTCCGCAGACGCTTCCTCTTCGACGAAATCGAGGCCGAGGCAAACCTTGTCTTCGACCAGCTGGTTTACAAATTGTCCGACCAGTTGTTCCGCTACTACAAGCAATACGCAGCCTCAATTTTATTGGATAAGAGGTTCAGAGCGGAGGCACAGAAAGCCGGCTGGCGGGAACCATATCCCCAGCCGAATCGGTACTCCTCTGCACTCATTCGCCAGCGCAATGTCCAGCTGCTGGGACGCTCCATTGATCTGTCCTGCCTCTTGTCACAGAGGATAAATAAAGCCATAATGAAGTCCCTGGAAGAGGCAATCCAGCGTTTTCAGTGTTCCGACATAACTGGCGTTGTGGTAGGTTGGCTTGCTTACTGAATAATCACAGTTTTGGGGGAATATCGTTTGTGTGACTTATTTGCCCGTTTGTGCTAACTGGCTTCATCAAGCCTTGTTTTTTTGTAATAAATTTGGATCGTGTTACGTGTACACGTTGTATTCCTTTACGAAAACGTGCCATTTGGCTGCAACCCTGTCCAATGCAAATTCAGACATCCACTTGTGATTTGTTGAGTAACATTCTACTTATATTTACATAGTAGAGTTTCTCACGCAGTTGTATAAATTGTTTCCCAATGGTAGTTGTTCCAAGATGATGAAATCGTTTCTCATAGTGTTTGTCCAAAATTTGTGCCCACATGTTCTCGTCTTTACTAGTCCAGCCAACTAAACCTCCCCCCAAAGAGGTGCATTGCTGCCGAACAGCTAAAGCACGTGCTCGTTGCGGTGGTACTTCTGCGTCCCCTCTTTTGTCCCGCTAAGCCCTTGCGTTGCTCGTCGACTGGCTAAGTACCATTTATTCGTTCGTTAGCACTGGCTAGCGATAGCGTGCGTTGAATACCAAAGCAGCTCAGATTGACATCGGTTTGTGTTGTCACTAAGTCCTAATCGTCATATCGGCCAGGCCACTTTATAGTTGACGACTACTCGGTTTGTTTATTTTTCATGAAAATTTGCTGCTTTACTTATAAACTGACAGTAGATTTACCTGTACATTTTTGAACCTCTCAATTGAGTGTGAGGTGTAACGTGCAGTCACTTTTCTCTCACTTTCCAACATCAAGATTTCAACCTAAAAAATATCCTCTCACAGTTGTTCGGACGCGGCCGTAAGTCAGCTAGAGAAGTAGGTGCAATGGACTTCCTTCTCACCATTGTTGCCGCTAAATTATCTCAAGTGAATTGCCACCTCAAATTCGTTCCAAGTTCGCCCTGATTCGGCAGCACTGCAAACACACAAAATAAGTGTAGTGCCTGATTGTGTGAATTTTGCTTTTTTCGCTTTTTCCACCACAACGGCATTGTGCTATTTGGTGTAAACTTGCGCTGCCAGCATCGCCGGTCAAGGCACGTTGCTTAATGCACCTTCACTTCCGGGCGGATTGGCTCTCGCGAATCACAAGATGCACCTCAATGCCGCTATTCCCCATCGTCATGTTCACTAGGCTCACCCCCCATTGATCTGACAACCATTTTTTTTTTCTTTTTTTTCCCAAAATCTTCACTTACACAACTCGGTATTCAAATCAGACCTTAGTCTAATGTCCTCGTTATGTCCAATCCACTTTTATGCCTCCTTGGTCTTTAAATTCTGCGAAAGTAGTTGTTGGCAGGCGGGTACTTTTCAAGTCACAAAGTCAAAGAATGCGTTGTGTGCGTTTGTATCCCGTGATTGTAACTATTTATTTGCATTTCTTAGGAATTGGAGGCGCTGATAGAGTGCAATCGCCTGTGCCATCGCATGCTTTCTGAACACCTGGACCTGGACGATTTCGATGACATGCTCCAGGAGGCCAACAATCTTGTGACCTCGCCCTTGAGCAAGATCGCCTTCCATGTCTTCTGGGAGGTGACTTGGGACTTGGTCAAAAACTACTGCTACAACGGTTCTACCAATAGGTGAGGCTTTGCAGATGGGTTTATGTTAATTTTTGGTATGGTGGTCATTGGTCAGCTCCTTTTGAGAGTGTCGCTGTTGAAGTCATCGGCCCAACTAGCCCGTTTACATTTCATCTATTGCTCCTGCGGTGGCATCCGACACTAAATTAACACTTCTTTACCTGCAAATGAACAATGCCGAAATGTATTAATCTAGGTGGCAACGGGGTTTAATTTCTTGCTTTTTCCGAGTACATTTGACACCGATTGATTGTGGCGTGCCTATTTAACGAATCTGACCAACGCTTCCAGTGTCCTCGTGTGCAGTGAATTATGCCGAAACCATTGTCACTTGTAAATTTCGCTGAACTAGCCAATCATTGCTTTCTCTAGGTTCGTTCAGACGAAATTCGCCCTGGCCGAGACGCTCGAACGCGAGAAGCCCCAACTCTGCCCCCCCGAGTACCTCTGGGGCAGCAAGAGCCTGAACTCCTGCTACGAGGCCATTTTCCAGCTCTACCGTGGCTTCATTGGCACTCCTCATTTCTCCGCCATTTGCAGACTCCTAGGATATCAGGGAATTTTTATAATCTTTATTGAAATAATGAAATTCTGCAAGTCACTGGTGAGTAACGGTTGTTTGTCCAAGTTCATTAATTTGAAAAGTTGCATTCCACGCATGTAAATGTGTCATCTGCTAAGGCGAGTTCTGTTGTGAAGTCGTCGGTTAAGGCCGTCTAAAAGGCCACATCATTCCTGGTATTTTTCATAAGAAATCTCATGTTTTTAGTTGAGTGGACATATTCTGGGCTCTTTTGTCCCGGTTGCCGAAGCCTTCTGACTCCCGTGAATGTTTTCTAACCTGTTGTGAGCGTACAACAGGTTACTTATGATATTGTTCACAGGATTTTTAGTGCTTATAACGCAGAATGTTTCTTAAACGTCTGTCCTCTGTGATTTTCGATCTGGTAATTGCTGACCCACTTCTCGTGACCCATGTTACCATGTTGCTTCTTTTGACTTCCATTTATTGCCAGGTTGATTTCATTTCCCCAACCTCACACCAGCCTCTCTAAATTGCCTTGCCAAGTAATTTGTGTTTCATGAATTACCTTTTTTTCAAAACTGCTTGGTTGAAGCAATCTTTTTGGTTTTATGTTCCTATGTGATTCGTTTAGTTGACGTCAGGCCTTTTATAAACATTTTGTGTTTTTTTTTCACGTCGCCTGCAGATAAACCAGACCATAAAGGAGTACGTTCGCCGGATCGGCAGTATGATGCCCAAATCAGTCTCTCTGCCTGGCCCCACCGCCAACTCCGAGATTCAATACGCCCTCTACAGCTTGTCATTGCAACGCGTATACCAGTATTCTGATCTACGAACTAACGTTTGCCAAAATTTTCGAGAGCTTGGCAACATCATCATCTTCTGTCTGCAAATGGAAAAGTGCCTTGTAGGTTATGCCAGTCCACTTCAATCACGCCATCGTATCCTCCCTTATCTTCCTAGTGGCTGTAGTAATGACCATCTCTACACTCCCTTCTTGTTAACCAAATTGGTCTCTCTCACGATGCGCGTACTGCTCAATAGATAGCATGTGTTGAAGTAAATCGGGTTTACACAATTTCTTTCCTAATAAGGCACGATGTTCCGTAAATCAGGCTACCTGCTTTGTCATGTCCGTTGCCACGTTGTAGTCCCATTTGTCAGTAGCAGTGCAAGGTAACATTCGCGTACTTCGATTTACTCATGGAACTCGCCTGTCTCAAAATGTTACGAAACTCCGCGGAGTAGTGCACGTGCTAACGACGCGAAACTCAAGTAACCAATTTCCTGTCTTTGCTGCGGGCAAATTTATGTAGAAACTGGCCAGCCCACTCCGCCCTTGTGACTTGTCGCAAGGGAAACAACTTTACGCAGCTAATCTGCGAGCTGCATACTTTTACATCCATGCCCAATTTGTATATTGGATGTCAGCGTATGCTTCTGAATGTGGACAATTGTTCAATCTTTTTACCACTAATAGTAAATTGCATTGTTTAGCTAGAGCTTTTAAGCCGTCAATTAAACTGTTCACCCCTCGCTGATTTTGTTTTACTCCAACTCCGCTGATACTTAAATAATCTACTTCTTTCCAACCACTGGGGACGTCTAGCCAAATTAGAGGTTTGCGCGACTATCGGCAGGGTGTCAGCACCAAAGCTGATTTATTCTTTTTCAGTTACTTGAAACTCCATTTATAATTATGTAAGTAACGCTTTGTAAGTGCTTACTCCTGGATTCATAGTCACTCTCAAGAGATGATATTACGAAAAATGGGTTAGTTATTGATAAAGGTCGTTAAGTCTGGGTTTGGGTGTTCATTAATCGGCTTAGTGTCAGTAAATATTGACACGCACGCACACGCTCACCTATTTTTTGCTCTCCAATCCCAGCAGCTTCCTGTCATTGTTTTCCTCCGTTCCGCATGCTACGCGAAATGCGGCACAGCCTATCTTGTGGGATATTAGGGGAGTGTCTCCTATTTATCTCTCTCCTATTTCACTCTCGATGTCGCGCATTGTCCCATGCTTCAACAATTCGCACAATTCGCACACAAGTCAATTTTTCATGCCCGAGAAACTCGCGTTCAGTAGGCCACTAAGAATTGAATATTGAACCAACACTATTTCCATTCTTGCAGTTTACTAATCCAGCACTTAGATGCGGTGTCCCTTGTTGTAGGTTGCAATCGACCGAGTGTGATTATTTGTGATTCATTTTCAACTAAAGATTTAATTGTCGTCAATCAGTTCGTATGTGCGATATTTCTTATTTTCCATCTAATCTGAATTTGTTTGGCATGATATACTGGTTGTATGGTGTTTCCTACCCTAAAACCGATGGGTTTTTAAAAATGCAGTTTAAGTCTGGACAACTAGAATCGTAAATAATTTCGAAAAGCAATCTATTTTCTCTTCAGAGAGAATTTTTCAACGCTTTTTTGTGTTCAGACAACTGAGGATCTCTGTGACCTGAAGCACGCTGATGCTTTTATCAGGAAACCACCAGCTGCTACAGGTCTGTTTGTTTTTTTTCACTTTTCTTAAATTAACCCTGTTGCAATTTATTGTCCCATCAAATGCCGCTATATTTTGATATGCCTTTAGTAATCCTCAAAAAGATCGGTTTATCGTCATTGCGTGTTTGCACGTCATTTTCAATCAGTTGTTTGTTCAAATTGTTATTTTAGTTCATTGTGTTCCGTTTTTCATCATGATAGAATGTTAGTCCGACCTAATCCTGGCAACACGTTTTTGCCGCTCATTTTGCCCACAAATAAAACCTCTGTATCCTCATCGTCGGTAATTATAGCTACACTCGGTCACCTGTAGAATAGAGGTCATATGTAGGTAGCCCTCAGAGTAACACCCGATTTAAATGCAAGAAGTCTGCTATTGTTTCAGTCTGCTGTCTGGACTCTGAGCCTTAACTTCAATTATTGCGATTTAGTAAGTTGTATTTAAATAAAGCACAGTGTTTATGATGGAAGGTAGATTGGCTCAAGTCATAAAGTGCAGTACCTGCGGTTACATACTTGACTTGCCGAATGTGAGTAACTACTTTAGAATTGTCGTGTCATTGTTTTTGTATGAATGAAAGGTGAAAGATCGAACACGGATCCAAAAATACGAGATCAGCAGAACCGGCTTGATGCTCTGAACATATCCAAGGTCGCGTCAACTGTGGGTTCAGCGGAGGTAAGCTTATCTATGAACGCTGGATCGTAAATGGTCCCGCCTATTATATCAAGGTTTAAACAAGCTACAAATTATCACGCTTTCGATTGTGCGTGTACTCTCACCTCTAGCTTAAACGTGCTGTTCCTGACATTTAGGAGCCGTTCGCTGTTATTTGACCCTGTTTTCACTGCGAGCAGATTGTTTGGCCTTACTGTTCATCGGAGCATAAGCTGTTTTACCTGACGCCAGCATTAGGCGCTTCACGGCATTACTCCTTCGCTTAAGCGTGATGCATTTTACGGTTAGCTTTAGCTGCAAGGCTTTAAGTAGAAGTTAGCATTGCATTTTCATCGCCTTCGGTATGCAGCAAAACGCAAGCATGTTCTAGTAATGGAGGTAATTGCTCCGCACCATTTTGTGATAAATAATTGCTCGTATTTTAACTCATTGCACCGCTTTCGAGCTCATACACGAATGACATTTATAGTCATCTGTGGTGTTTCTACAGCGGCCCTGTAATTTGCAGCCCGATTCTCTTTGCTGGGTAGGTGCGCTCTGAAAGTGTGACCACGCGTTCCTCTGGACACCCATAAACGCAAGTTAATTTTAGTGATGTTCCATGCAGGCGTGTCAGCGAGCACCCAAACAGTCTCTCTCGGTGGCTTCTCACCCAGCACTTAAAGTTCCAATGAAATCCGTTTCAATACATAAACCACCTTCACAATAGGTTAAAAAGGTGTTCACGTTTTGTGACGTGTTTACGCATCGACATGCCGCGAATGAGTGACCGGTTTTGCTCTACTTGACTGGCACCTTCGCCCTGAGGCCGATGGAGTCCTTCCAGTTGGTACTTTTTCACGGACATTTAGCTGCGCTCCGTGCGTAAACATTCTTTCGTTGCCAGGGCGCATTTTTTCACCTAAACGCTTTAAATCACGAGTAATTTGCAGTGTCGTTTGTCGCCCTTCACTTACATTGGGTATTTTAGGTCATGTTTTCCTTAATGCCTGGCTCTTTGTCGTTGCTTGATTGTTGGAGTACAAATTATTTCTTTACCGGGATCAGGGTAAATTAATGTGTAAATTCTTTGTTTGTTTCCTCTCTGTGGTACGTGTGTCTTCTCAGTATTTTCGTGTGCATCTGAAGTTAACACCTAGTGTTAGCTTCCAAGTTAAAAAGTCAAATTTGTTTTATAAATTCTTATTTGCGCCTAGTTTTCTATTTTTGGGTTAGAAGAATGTGGCAGCGCATTTTCATAGTGCTTGATTTTTAGTCAAATGTGTTTTTTACCGTGATTTAGTTTTGCTGTCACGATCGCCTGGCTGTTCTAGCCAACACCTTAACTGTCTCAACCGCTTTGTGCTCTTTTAAGTTAATGGGAACCACTAGTTCCTGGTTTTTTTCGCGTCACGTTTTGTAGACCGACGACTAAAGTTGATCCATGTTTTATTTGCCTCTGTGCACATTTGGTTTTAACGCCTCTAATAAAACCATCAGTTAATCACTGTCTGTTGTATATACTTTTGTATATTCTCGAATGACCTTACCGGCATTTGGTCCTGCTTATTCTTTTCAGCTTGTCGAACTGACTGACGGAAATGTGGTTCTTACCCGGGAACGTCTGTGCTGTGGCCTGGTGCTCTTTGAACAGGTATTGGGGTTTTTTCAGTGTGCGCCTGGTCTTTTAATTGTGTAGTGCTACGAACACTTTGCTATCCATTTTCCCTTAATCGGGGTATAAATGTGGATATTTGCTTACTTCGCTTGCTTTAAAATGCTGTCGTTTCATTTCAGTTTCATTCAGCTATCATTGGAAGTGAGCTCACACATTTTAGCGTTAATGCCAAGCAGCGCAAGAACTTCGGCCAAGTCTCAGAATGTTTTTTTAAATGTATTTCATAGCTTCTCCACCGCATTCGTGATTTCCTGAATGAAGAGGACCCGCAGCCAGTTGTGATGAACGGTATCGCACGTCAGGTGCCTCGCAACGTCTGGTACGGTAGTGAGGCGTGCGGAACCACGGTGGACGCGGACGAGCTCATTGAGATCGAGGGTTGCACCCAATTCCACCGAGTCTGGTCCGCGATCCAGTTTGTCTTCAGCACACCGTTTGGCGAGAATGAGTACACTGTAGAGGAGATGTTCGGCGACGGACTCAACTGGGCCGGGTGCACACTGATCACCTTGCTTGGCCAACAGAGACGCTTCGAGATGCTTGACTTCGGAACCCACTTCCTCAAGCTTCAGAGAAACGACAAGAAGGACACCTCGAAGGAAGGCGTGGTAGGTTGTTTCATCAATCGGTGTTGGCGCAATTCTTTCCGAAACTTGTTGGTTGTGTGTATGTTTCAAATCGAATTACAATCGCCTGAGGCTGCTCATTTTGCCATTACTCGGGTGTCTGAATTATGCAACTCTTGTCGATTTACTCACCAAATTGTACTTTTAGTGTCTCGCTCGTTTGGCTACGCGTTTGAGTCGTTTCAGTGTGCTGAACCGTCAGATATTTGCCATACTTAACAACTACCTGCACCCGATCGATAAACCTGACAATCAGGCGAACGTGCGTCACTTCCCGCCCCCCCAGTGGCCACGAGCGTGAGCGCGCGCCCTGCGTGAAACCCGATAGCACAGTGATTGTTGCGATGCTGGTTACCAATCTTCCGCATTTTTTGTGGTGCAAATTTACATCTTCAACCACAGCCACCACCACCACCACCACCGCTGCTAACACCGGTCCCAATCATGGTTCCGATTCGATTTACATCATGGCCTGGTCTCGCCAACTTTTTTATGATTTGTATCCCCTAGACAACTATCTGCCTCCAGTTGGACTTCCACCTCAAAACAATGATTTAATTCGTGCTTTTAATTTGTATACATTATAAATACCAAAACCTTTGTGGGATTCTCCTTTTTTCAAACAGATGGGGCTGTTTTTGAGTAAGAACGGTTCCCCCTACTTTACTGCTTTTCCTTGTATACTTTTAGGCTGTAATTGTCCCGTTCGGGCACTAATTCAGCTATTGAAACGAAACATTTGGTTTATTATATAAATGAGCTCAAGTACTACGTAATTTTGCCTTTTTGAGTCGTCATCCCTCTTGGGTCATAAAGATGCATCGATGTGGGTGGGAGGTTGTTAAATGATCTGTTTAGCCTGCTGCGACTCCGCTAATTTGCCATTCGTAAAACCCAGATATAAGGAGATTGGCGGTGTTGGGCATGGCCACTTGTTCACCCCTAGACAAAGTGCACCGCGTAGTCAATGTTAAAATATAGGATCGATCAAGTCTCAACCAGTGTATAACACTCGTAAGCCGTTTGGAAATCGACCCTCAACACGAGCGAACGGGTGTGCACTCACCACGGTAACAGTGACGTGAAATTAAAATTCTGTCGAAGTTTAGTGTTCCGAGCCACGTATCCGTCGCATATTTTTCCTTCAAGAGAGACTGCCGCAAGTTGTTTTATTCACTGCGTTCCAAAACCAGTTCGATGCTGATGGTCGGCACTATTTCATTCTTGATGGGGTGTTTCTTTGGGTGGCATTTCTGAGTTAAAATAGGTGTTATGTGTTTGATTTCCCATTGCACATGTAGGGAAAAAAACAGAAGCTTAATCCTGCATGGTAACCTTTATTGTCGACTTCAGATTTAATACTTTGGGCTCTAGAGCATCTCGAGACTTGTGCAATCGCTTTAAGCAAAGATGTATCATTATGTGTTTAATAATAAGTGGCTTCTCAAAATACTTATGTCGTGGCAACGCCTTCGTAGGTCTTTAAATGAGGCTCTTCGTTGCTCGCATTTACTTACGGTTCCATTAATTTAATCAGCAAAGCAGAAATTCTCATTCTTCCTGTGTTGACTTGTGATCTGGAAAATTAAGGTTCCGGTTGAATATCGGCGAAGAGAATGTGGTTCCTCAGGCCTTAGTACGCCTCCTAGTCTGTAAAACTTAGTAAATAGGGTCAATTTTGTGGAACAGTGGCTGTTTAAAAGGCGCTTAGACAATTTAGTTCTAATTGTAGCTTTTTTTGTTTTCAGTAGCGAAAATCTTGTGCGCTATCAATTTTACACACCTTATGCTTATTAAATTTACTTCCACAAAATTGATTAGAGGCTAGAAAACATACTAACTAATGCAGGGGCGATCATGTGGTCAATGAAGAAGCCTTCAAGGTCAATCAATAAGGCGAATTCAAATGACACAACGACGGGATGCACCTCTGTATCAAGAACATTTGGTAACAAACCTATGGGACAAAAATGCCTAGTAGAAATTCAAACCCAGGACCTGCTGCGGGTGACTCCAACTGTCGAAGTAATGCCACAGTCGAAGCTCTCTTTGTGAACCAAGAAAGCGAACTTGGGACGGTTTCAGAGCCACGAACAGCAAGTGCTCAGGTGGCTTCACTTGTCCCTCCGCCTGTTCAACATCGCCAGTCCGCGCCGTTTGAATGGGTCCACAGAGGACTTATAGACCCTCCACAAACAACAAGAGTCATGAGTGATGTTCAAGTGTCGCCGATGCGACTAACCGGTCGTGCAGCGCTTAACATCAGCAACGATCAAGGAGTTCAAGCGAACTCGAATCAACAGAATAATAACATGTCACCTCAGGAGTCTTCACGCAGCGTTAGATTTGCTCACGTTGAGAAGGGGCATGCAAGACGCTCAAAAACTGGAACATCGTGTAAGACTCTTGATGACTGTGGGAATAAAGAAGATCCGTTTCCGTTTCGACCGGCTTATTTCAATTTGGAAAACAAAATAAAAGCACCGACCCCTAGGTCGACAGCTTATAGGAAAGCGCGATTTCATTGCTTGTTGTCTTTGGTTTCAGCACTCTTTTTACTCTTTTTTGAGTCCTGTTTTATGTTTGCTTGCCTATATCTGAGGATTCGCTGCGCTTTTATCGCTTCATTTATTTTTCGGGTGGCACTTCTATCAGTCACAATCATTCTGCTCGAATTGGCACAATCGTTCTTTTGGAGGGATTTCTCGTCAGAAAATCAAAATTCTCATTTGTACTCTACTCATAGCGATCTACAGCCTTCTGTGACGGCAAGTCCACTAACTACCATCACTATTGACCGACCAGTATTGAAGAGGGATTTCTGGTTTCAAAGTTCTATCGAAAGAGGTATTGCTAACCCTGACTTTGTCACCCCATCACCAGTGGATTCCATTGCTGACAAACAAAGGATCCTAGATGGGAAAAAAGTGGCTCTCAAGGTGATCGTCACCGTTTTATATCTTGTCATTCTCACGATCCTGCTAAATGGGGTGATTTGGATCCCATCTCAGAGTGTGTTGAGGAGCGAAAACAGCACAACTGTAGCCAGAATTGACTCACCGCTCACTAAGCCGGACTCAGAGTGCCCGAAATTGGGTGTCTATGTTGGATTGACATACGCGGGCATACATGTGGTGTTAATAGCTCTGCGCATGGTCCTGTGCTGCGCCACGGGTTTTGGTGGTGGAATTCGCCTTTTGGCCTCAAAATGTCGGCCATCAGCTTTACCGCCCACACATATTATGGTTGATTTGCCACTCACACCTGAACTCACAACTTGCGAGAATAGGCGAGACAACTCCCGTCACCACATTCATAAGCTCCGCGAGAAACGTGCAGCTGCGAGTACAATTTTATAACTCGTTTATGTGTACCTAAAACTCACCAGTTGAAACCATTTGAAGGGTTTATAAAATATAATTAACTTAAATACAGACACTACCAAAACATGTGGATTTGTTCTGTTTCTTGGATGTGTGGTCCGAAAAACTGTACTACCCCGAGATAATTCGATAGTGCAGTCTTTTGGGACTGACCGCTGCCTGGCAAACTCAAGACATAATTTGGAGTTGTGATGGAAACATCTGGCGACGTTGCACACCAAAGCCAGGGTGATGGCTAATCTGCAGCATGAAATAAGTCACACGTTTTTCACAAGGCCACCAGGTTATTGTAGTGTAGTTTTGGCAGAGAACTGTGAAATAAAATCACTGTGGTTTATTAGTTTTTTACCCGACACAGAACAAACCTCAGCGACCCCATTTACGATGGCCCACATGGCTTGCTATGACTACCTAAGGGGTTCATTATTTTTGCCAAACGCGCCGGCTGAAATGGCCAAAGCAGATTTACGAAAGATTTCCACTTGAGTAAAATCGTGTGAATAAATAAAAGCTAGTAGTATACTCGCAGCACAAGTGCAACGAAATTTATACTTTTTGTAAAAAATATTAAACAAATGGAGAGATAAAATTAAATGCAAGCTCTAAGCAGAGAATAGTTTTAGGATTTTTTTGCTATTACTTTGTTGATTTTAAAACTAGGTAATCAATCATAAAAACGCATGTTGATACTAGTGTGGACCCGCTTGATTTGGCACAAAACCAATCCGATTCTTCATCATAGTGCGCCTCATTTATTTAAGGCAAACCGGTGTAATATTCTGCTGCCCAGTACACGTATATCCGGTAGATGCAGGTGCTTCAAAAAATGATCCATTGGAAGATACAGTGAAATCACCTGTTTCATTGGTATTTGGAAACACTACTGGACAGATTGTATTGGAAGGTTATATTTCTAATGATAATGGCCTCTGATTTGGAGGGAGACCTGGGCACTTTGGAGAAATAAGGTATCCACTGGAGAATGATTATCTCATTATCAGTACCACATTTCTCCGTTACACTTGCGTTTGAACAAACAACAAACGGCTTTGTCTGGTTGGATTTACCGTCAAAGTAAGGCACTAGAAGCTCCAATTTTGCCTGTAAAATGGTGCAGGTTATACCGCCATCCGTGAGAACAAACTTGGGAATATTATCTGGAGCTGGTGTCGTCGTAGTCCCACTCAGGGTGCCACTAGTCGTAGAAAATGTTAGTAAAACCGGTTTAAAATCAACGCCTTGCAACTGTCTTTCTGCTAAGTTCATCCACGTGTGCAAAGTGAGTACTTAGGGTACAGGAGAATTTTGCTATTAAATCTTACCTCTCTTCTAAAATAAACTCTCAAAATAACAAAAGAGCACAACGATTGTATTCAACTAGTGTAACGGACAAATGGTTTTCCAGGATGTAAGAAAGCAACTGTGAGTACAAAGGTTATAATTGTATCATGTTCTGGCAGCACACAAATGTTGTTCGCTGGAAAAGTCAACTCGAAACGCAACCACTACAAACAAAGGTGGAAATCTGTGCAGGGTTTCTGTGCAGGCTGGTTAAATGCCAATAATTTCCACGAGCGTTCACCCATATTGAACGAATGGATGACCAAAATTTAGATGCTGGTTAGACTGATAAAATTTGACAAATAGTGGGATAAAATGCGAAAAAGACTAAAAGATAATTGCAAAATGTCGTTAATGTTTAATAGTTTCAAGAGGGCACAATATTTAAATAAATTTAGATTTTTTATTGATTCCGTTTTTCGAAACCTTTTGATACTTTGATTAAATTTTGTAAAATTAATGAAGCCTTTAAACAAATAAATAAATTTTAATAAATTGGCCTCTTCAAAATGATTCACTTTTACTTTTATAACGGTAGGCCAAACAAGACTGAATATCTGGTGATTTTAACCCATAATTATTAGCAAAATTTAAGGATACTCACCATACTCGTGTCACCGATTTACTTCCATGAGTGATAGAGGACTTCTGTTTGAAAATTTACTCTACCTAATACGGACCTCAAGGAAGCTCCCTTTGAGTTAGCTGGTGCATGTGGCCTTAAACTGCCATGGTAGAACACGGTTTCTTTGAGATATCCAATTCTTGTGGTTTTTCTTTAATTTCCTACTTTATCTGTTTCACCATTTATTACTAAGAAGGTCTAAGTTAATTGCCTGGATTCTTGAAAGTAGCTCTACTTACACAGCAACGTTGTAAACCAACCCATTTAAGAGTACGAACTTTTCGAAGGCTTGTGGATTTCCATGTAGTCTGTTCCGATTAATCACGTCTTAACCATAACCTTTATCCAATGATCCGATCTAAGTTTGACTTTCATTCGGTCATCACCAACTTTGCTGGATCGAGCAGAGAGTTGATCAGCTTTACGTGAATTTTTAAACCGATTCCATTAGACGTGTTCCATTAGACGATCAGCACCATACACGTCACTTATATTTTGAGAGCCGGAAATGTCGTGAATGTCTGTTTTCGGACCCTGAATTAATTTTGACCTTGATTTAAAACCACTGACCAAAATTATGCACAATTTACTTTTAAAATAAGCCCAACATAACATCCACCAAAAAATAATAGGAGAGAAGTCTCTTTTCTTTCAAATCAGCTCTTGACTTTTGACAATGGACATTTCTCCCTTGATAACTCGTTAATATCGAAAATCAATGAGTAGAAATCTATTTGCTCGATCATAGCACCCGATTCTTGGTGTGCTCTCATTTTTGGTTCCAGTGGTCAGCAAATCCAGCTTGGAATGGATGGAATACTTGGAAGGGACGGAATACTATTCCTTGAAGTTCATGCACATCATGATTTGCCTGGGAACTAACTTGTGGTTCGAATATTGGGTGAAATATTTATGCTTTGATAACCAATTTCGCCGACCTCATCTCCTTCGATGAAAGAATAGGGAATTACACGTCTAACAAAATTGAGTCCGTTGGCTTATTCATCCATTTATATCAAATCAAACATTCAGAAAAGGCTCATAATAATGGGGAAAAAATTCTGTGAGTAGTGTAATGACGTTTTTAGAGCGTGTTACTCTAAATGAGCCCTGTATTCCCACCTACGTCTTATGTAATTTTAGAAGAATGGTCACTTAAAAATATAGGAAATTTAAGTGAAAAAATCACCTCTTTCTTTTAGTCCAAACATGATATTTCTCATTCACTTCAGATTACTCTAGCAAAAATAAACGTGAAGTTAAGGGCAAATCGGATTAATTTTTTTTTCACTCCTATTAGGAATGAAATATGCAAAAGACAAATCAGAGATTTTAATTTGTCTAAGCTGTAAGTTAGATGAAGGTGGCACTTTCACACGTGAAACTAAATTAGGAGACACATAGACTATTTTGGAACGGAAGTGCTTTAGTGATTTTAGTGAATTTAGTTCGTCAAAACGGAAAACTTTTTTAGGCATAATGTACCAGTGACATTTTCTTTTTGAGCGTAAAAAAAGTTAAGCTGCTGAGGAACAATGTTCGGTGGAGCTACAGCGAAAAAATCTGATTGCATAGATCACAGCAATGTGCTAACACGAAGCAGATAGTCGAAGGTTTGAAAAATCAGCATTCGGGTGGGTTGGAGTAGCGTTTGAGTAGAAAAGTAGCTGGACAGATTTGCAAAATTACTTGGTGTAAGCCGTGAGATGCTTTGGCATCAAGGTGCGTTTTTTGATCGTCTGCTGTCAAATTAGGATGACCTAGAGAATATCCACCAGAGCCAGACTTCATTGATAGGGTATAAATTACATCAGTTCAGATTTAGGCGGCTACTTTAATGTGATTTTAGGGGACATTTCAGTATTTGTGAGCAAGCAAATCTAAGTGGTCTTAGAGATTTCGTCATTTTACTTAAACGCCCGAAAATAGTGAATTTAGACGAAAAAGTGTTTTTATTGTAAAAGTTGGAGAACTTCAGCAGCCCTGACTTGAAGTGACCGAAGATTTGGAGCTGTTTTGACAAGAAACTAGTTCATGCGGTTTTTCTTGGCCTTATACGTGTGTGCATCATTCCACGTGGTTAAGATATATTACAGGTGACAATGAATACTGGTTTTTTCATGTTAGAGTGGAGTGAAATAGTGTCCAAAAATTGAGTGAAGCATAAAGGCTTACTTAGACTGTCAGTTTTAGCTTTCATTAAATCAATTCTAACGTTTCGCCTGAAGTTTAGAAGTGGGGAAGCATCCGCATATATTCATGGAAGACTTGACATCAGTATCCTTAATCAAAATTCTGAAATAAAATTACCTGCCATGAAACCTGATGTACACAATTGTCATGATTTACATAATGATGAGGACACTGACATACAATTTTAACTCATATGTAGTTTAGACTTCTTAAAATGCATTGCTTTATTATGATTTGGTGGAATAAGCCTTTTTTAAACGTTAATTTGGGACGCTTAGCATTTCTGTATTGACATGGACAAAGCCATGCAAAAATTCAATAAATTCGGAAACAAGCGTGACGAGATGCTCGCAAAGATGAAACGACACCGAAGTAAGAAAAGTCGAGTACAGCCATTATGCTGGATGAAATAGTAACAGGTCAACGGACGACATAACGCAAATCACTCAACTTAAGGCAATAACAGTGCCTCTAAACCACAACTGTTGGCCACCAACGCACTAACGATACTAAAATCAGGTCTTTTAAGAGATGTGTCTGTGGTTCAGAGTGCTCTTACTCGCCTAATCCGTGTCCATATGCAGATGAAGGCAAGTAAAATCCACTGAATATGGAAATAGAAATGAGTGGCATCATCGTTGTCAAATATTTAGACATTGCTCAATAAAAAATAAGTCGAAAGAAGACCTCATGCCTTCTTTCAACGCTACAAGCCTTCGTCGTGCTTATAAGCTAACCCGATTTCCTAGCTTCTTCCTATATTCATATGTTTGCTACTTCACCAAAGTGCTTGTTCTGAATTATTCCATGATCGCATGTTTTACTTAAATGCTTGCTTTGGTCACTTGTTGACACGTATAAATCATCCCCAATGGTCAAGGCCTACCTGTACACCTCCAGTCCCTGAGGACATTAATAAACGTTGAACTAGAGGCTTCAAGTCCCAAGCTGCGTGGTTCAATCTACGTGACCGAGAAGGTTTCTAAATTTAAACTTCGCATAATCTTCAAACCCATTGAGCGCCACAACCAAACTACAATAATGGAGGTGGATTTGTAGAGCGTTCGACACCAAAACGTGGCTCCTCAAAATGTGTTGCTTGCAATTTTAGTTTTCTCGCCTTGAGCTACGCTGCCTCGATTCCGACAATACCCATTAGCGTTGACTGGGTGGCATGAATCCTGATTTGGGAAGAAAAGTTTGAAAATTCAGTACAAACTAAAGCAGCACGGCGCTATCAAAGCGTGTTTATGGTAGTGCAAAGCTTGTACCCAAGATTTTATTCGCACACTTGTTACTCATAGTTCGAAAGCCCATTAATGCAATTTAAAAGGGAATCGTCAAATTGGCACATCCCAACCTGCTTGCAGCCCAGTAATGCGGATCTCACTCAGCCCAAGGAAATAAAAAAAAAGATACGGCTTTAAAGTTTCATGCAATGATTCCATCCACCTTCTAATATGAGGCCGAGGAGTGTTCGCGCTTAAAACACCTCAACATATAGAATGCAAGTGTTCAATTAAACTATCAATTCAACGTACATTACCATGACATGAAGGGGATTTCGAACTGAAAAATATAAATTCGTACTTTCAAAACTTAGTGAATGCATGTTTCTGTAGTTAATTTTAGACTACCTTTATGTCCCACACATAGTAAATACCATAACTTGCGGGTAAAAGTGAGTCTAAGATGTCTCGTGTTCTACAGCATTCACTCATCGCTCTTTTTATAGAAATTTGAGACTTTTATTCACTGACATTTAAACAGTTACGTCGTAACTCTATTTACATGAAAGTGTTGATACGGAAACTACCGACTTTTGCTTGGCACAACGAATCAGGCACAATAGAGGTGCTCAAGTAACCATGTCAGTACCTCGTGAGCCTTTTAATGAGTAGCATGTAAAAAATTGGGAATCCTCGTACATATAATACTGAGCAAGGCCGGAAGACTTTGTGATCGTAAAGAAAACCTCGAAATTGATATTTGGAGGATAGGATTTGCGGCGTACAAATAGCTCATACTGATGAGAATTTCCAAGTTACTTGTGAACAGTCAATCGGAAAAGCTCGGAAATAGGACCCAAGGTATTGACTCATTTCAACACTAAATAACGTCAGCCATCTGTGTGGGTTAAGCGAGCATGGATATCAGATTTTCGAAGGTTCGTGGCTATCGACTCTTGTACTTTTACACTGAGTTCTGAAACACCATACTTCTCAAGCGTTGCTTGCACTATTATCCATGTTTGGCACACTCCACTCCCTGTGGATATTTGGAAATAGCATTATACGGAGGCTAGTGCGTCCACCTCAAGCCTTTATCAAAAGCATACTGCCTATCCGATCATGCCCCCTCGGAGTTTGGCCCTCACGAAGTGTCAAATCGTTTACAAGAACATAACCTAATTACACACGCAACTGCAGACCTTTTGATGCGAACCCCCACTCCCACACATTTCCATACACCTTTCCTTGACGTAACCGTCACTTTCTTCGTTAGTGAAGACAACTATAGCATAAAAGTTTACACCTGAACGGAACAAGCACTTCTACAGGCACACACTTGAGATGTGTCATCGTTCTACTAAATTTGATTAATTGATAAAACCTTTTTTTCATAAGTTATACAAACTTGTGACTAATTTACTTCCAATTGATCATCTGACCTAATCATGACTGCACTTTTATGACGACCCTCTCTGAAAAATAATGTTTTTTGACGAAGTGACAGGCTGAAAATGTATTTCATTTTATCTAGGCAATAGAAAACGAATCTAAGCTTACATTAACTGTCGCCTTTGCCTTAGCTGGCAAAAGGCTCCACAGCACCACAGAAAGCCACCATCCTGCCCGATTCCCGATAAATTAACGGAAACCCAAGTTTCAGTGTATTTCCTAGTAAACAAACCATACAAGTACTGACTGACGAAGTTCGCATTTACGCGCCAGTTAAGAGATTCGGGGAAAATTAGAAACCCTTGAAAACATAGTAACCATAAAATTGCGAAAGGTCCGAATTCGTGCAAGCACGAAGTGAAAACAACACTGGGTGAAGATGAGGGTTGTGGAGATAAAAGGTTTACATAGGAATTACGAGGAAGAGCATTAAAATAGCCTTACAATCGCAGTTAGCATTGGGGAACTAATGGTGATCTACAGAGCAGCGAAGTAGAGATTGGCCAAACCAAAGAGGAATTTCCCAATTTAAGAAGCAGGTAGTTAATCTTGGGGGGCCAGTTGAAGAGCCTTTTGAGCCCCGATGGTCATTGCATCTTAAGAAAAATAGTGGGCATTAAATTCAATTCGACAGAAAAGTTTTTGAATGAAAAGCGAACTCACCGACTCTCCTTTGGAAGAAAGCGGGTTTGGGTGACCAAGTTATGCCCAAAAGGTAAACAGGAATGCCTGTGGCAATAATAGCACATCCATATACTAAAAAACGGCAACAAAATTATCTGACTGACGGTATGGGCTTACTCTGCCCATACTTATTTTTTTCATAAATATGGGCAGTTCAAGGTTAATCTCAAAGATGGTACTATTTTGGTGACAAAAACCAAGGAGCCGTGACAAATCGACGTCAAGTTGTGGTAGCAATCACTGCAGAAAAAGACGGTGCCGTCGAACAAACAATGGTGCTGGTTTTAGGACAAGAGCTGAAGTTTGTAGCAAACTGAGGTAGCAGTAAGTTTGCATGACAGCCAGACTGAGATTTTTACCTGGACACGGACCTCGAGACAATATCACAGACTATCTTACGACTATTACTGCTTGAGTTCTAGTTTCCAATTGGGAAGCGCAAAGGTGGCATTTGATGATACTAACAATGGTTTTGATAAGTCATTATACAATATAAATAGTTTGCATCGTAAAACCACATGTATTCAAAGACATCTTATTGGTTTTTGAAAGAAATATCCCAGAGACGTACACGACTCCATAGGGGCGCCAATGAAGGAGAAAATTATCAGAAAGGCGCTCATCCCAACGTAGATAATAGGGAACAATATTGGGGCCTAGAGTAAAATGAAATTCTAGAGTAGACATGCAATTTTTAAAAACTAAGTAGGATGCAACGGGAGAGCCTTAATAGTGCTACCAGTAATTCGTGCATTGTAAGAAGTGCTTGAAAAACACTCCAAATGTCTGATCAGCATTGCTGTGAGAGTGAACGCACGATTAAAGCTGAACAACGGCGCAGATATTGAACTTAACTGCTGTTCCATTACTAGGCTATTGGAGACAAAGTCGTTGTGCTGTTGACAAAAATGCCTATTTTAAAAAACAATATGAGGTTTGTATGTACAAGCATTGCAACGAAATTAGGCATTTCACGTTTATGAGCAATATTTGATAATTAATTAAGACATTTCAGAGATTATTAGGGCGAAGTCAAGACCCGTTAAAGGACTATAAACTCATAACTTATGCACTAGGACTAGGTACTTCAAATTTTAATAATAACAAAAATAATAATTCCCGTATTGCTTTCAAATATTTAAGGCAATTCAGATAAAAACTGAGAGCAGAACGTCGTATTCTGTCACCCAAAGTGAAACCATTGCGTCTGTAGAGTAATAAGTTGCGTTAAGACTATTAAAGAGGACGTACTCGAACAGGGCGAATGGCATTTTTCCGAGTGATACGAAAGATGATAACGATTAGTACGGAAAGAGAGATGGCCAACCATTGTACAAAGCCCAAGTAGTTCATTAACACGTACAAATTAGTGACTGAGAGGTATAATAACGAGAAAAAGGCCTGAAATGAGAAATGAAAAGTTTAGTTTACATAGCTCTTAAAACGCAGGCCAGTTACATGAAAAATGATCAAGGGCTGATCACTGACTTGATGTAGTAGGCATTGCAAAGAGCAAATACTTTGGTGCTGGTTTGATCTCAAGTACAACAGCACCCACGGAATAAGCAATTCAATACCACAATAACTGATCACCTGTTTGCTTTGTCAATAGGGCTTATTTCAATTGTTACAAATAAGGTACACAGATTTCTTGTGTAAAGTGATCCTCGTTGTTGAATAGCTTGAAAGAAAATGCAGGTCGAATGAAGCAAATGTATACTTATGACATGTACATCTAGGACCGATTGCGAGAAAGCCGGGAAATCACCATATAACACATCGAAGTTCCACGCGATTCTCAACAAAACAAGGCTCCCGTGTTAAACCAATAATTAGTGTCAATAAATGGAATTAATGCCTGTACATTATCAATCGACAACGTTCAACATTTGAATGACCTTTTGGTATTCCAAGAAGCAGAATCAAAATGAATGTGAAACGACAATGACATTCAAACCGTGAAGAGTAGTTTGCTTGTATGCGAGGTGCTTACGACCTACCGTAAAGACAACGGCAGGCAGGGGTGTGAGTTTGTGAATGTGAAGAAAGGCCATAATGCGAGGCATCTGCTTCTCTTCTCCAGCCACAAAGAATATACGCGAGGTGGTCAACATGGCACCATTAACACCCCCGAATGTTGAGAGAGCCACGAAAATTGACATGATCCACCAACCGTGGCTGTACAACCGCTGAGCAAATGTCTGCAAAGAAGGGGTGGGCAACAAGATAAGTGCAAATGACGTGATAGGAAAAAATGCGATGTGCAAGAGCTCCAGCTAGTAAACGTAGAACTGTCGATTTTTGAAAAGTAAGTGAAGCTACTACTACCTACAGGTAAATAGGCAAAAGGTAGAATTTAAGCTCCTTAGAACTGCAAATTAATATTAACCGTTGAGCTGATTCACGACCTTTGAGCGAAAAGCAGTGTTTCCAGTAATTTAAAGCAATCTTGAGTTGAGCCTTAGAAGATGTCCCTATCTGCAGTGATCTAACCAAGATTGAAAGAGCAGCAGGTCCCAAACGAATGACTTATTTCATTAAGATAGGTAAAATAGAGGAGGTGATGTCAATTCGACCCCTGTAAGTACTGGCTAACCGCTTATATAGGTTACAGTTTGTCGAGACACCGGTACCACTAAGCAGCCTCAAATTTCTTGGCACGCGTAGAAGGGAGGTAAGCTGGCGTCGCCCCACCAACCGAAGGTGAGTCAATAGACCCTCCCACGTGTAGGCGGCGCGCCCATTGGGACGGTAGTGACGCGTGCGCGCGAGCCATGCCAAACAAATCGATAATGGGAATGCGCGCGGTTTACAAAAATACACGTGTTCAGTTAATCGCGCGTCCAGAATGCGTGATTTTCCCGAAGTACTTCCTTACTGGCCTTTGGTCGCAGGACTTAGTTTTAAAGATATGTTACCGATTATAATAATATTTAATTGTGCTGAAAGGTAGAATAACACCAGCAAATTCAGAAATGCGCGGAATTTGACTAAAATCAAGTCTATGGCAAGTTCACGGTTATAAGCATAACAATAAAATTTTGTAGTAATAAATCGAAGTGGCCCAAAATAATACTTTGTTTTTTTAAGGTTTTCTAGATATGGTCCTTATGATGGCATATAACAACAGTCTGAAAGTTACATGCACTGTTCCAGGCAGACCAAAAAGCATCTAAACGGATTGATATTTTGATCTGTTGAGTTTCGTATCATTGACATGAGGTCTGAAGGCTATAGTGCGTTGGTAATAAGGAAAATCAAAGAAGCAGGTACTCACAACAGCAACAGCAGGCGTGGTGAGGATCTCGTGAACATCAACGGTGGTGAAGTATGCAACATTGCAAAGTGTGTAGGCTGCGGTCACGACAAGGCAGGAAAACACAATCGCAATGGGCAGATCACGCTTGGGATTCTTCATTTCTTCAATCATACAGTTTAAGTAGTTCCAGCCAGCAAACGCGAACAGACCCGAATAGAAACCTGTTGCGATGCTTCCCAAACTCCAATCCGACCCTTCAAAGGCATTTTCAAATGCCTCCACACGACCTTAAGGTAAAAACGCACAACGAAGAAATAAGCCGTTTTACAAGCAGGTAGCAGTAAGCTGCCGCATAATTTTGTCTGAGAAAAAATTTGGGGGTACATAGGAAAGCGGTACTTACCAAAACCTATTTGAACAAATCCGGTGATAATAATCATGCCAATCGCGAGGAGTTTGCCATAGGTAAAGATATCCTGTACGCGAGTAGACAACCGAGTGGAATAGCAGTTTATGTAAGTGATGATAACTTAAAAAGTAAGCGAAAAAGTTAAGAGTAGTCAGAATCGAGAGTAATTGAGAAATAAAGACTTACGAATACAGGCGGCACCAAGAAGCCTAACGGCCATGTCCGGTTGTTGACAGTCGGGAAAAATTGGCTGAAGAATATACTTGGAAAAGGTCATCGCAATAACAGCAATTGTAGCCGGCCGAACAACGATAACTTCAACCCACATACGTAAGAAGCCAAAGAAGGGACCAAATGCCTCGAGGATGTATGCGTAATCGGCACCCGAGCGATGGATGAGCGTGCCCAACTCCGCATAACAGTAGGCACCTAGCAGCGAGAAGAGACCACATGCCACCCAAAGAATTAGGCTAGCTCCCACACTTCTCACGCTTGCAAGAATACCAGTTGGACTGACAAAAATGCCAGAACCAATCATTGAACCGATTATGACGTTGATGCCTTGTACCAAGCCAATTGTCTTCTCCATTTGAACACGTCCATTTCGTTCCCCTCCCATGTTTAGGTCTGAGCAAGGAATAATAACGATTAAGTACTTATAAATCACCCTTCTATAATCCTGAGTGCATATTAAATTAGCGATACACCACAAACGCTGGCGAAACAACAGAAGCAACTTTTAGACAGCAATGAAGTACCGAAAGTGTGCACCTGCACCTACGCCTGGGTATACATTGCAATTAAAAGGGATACTTCTTAGAAATAACAAAGTTACAACAACAACACATTTATATTCCGTAACTTCTATCACTATAACAATGGTTTTAATCGGATACCGACACCGTCAATATACTTCACAGAGAAATGGCTACGGGGTAAGATGTCATTGAGTTATTGAGAGTTGGACAGAGTTAAGGCAAATTTTCGCAACGTGAAATATTCAACAGTCAAATAATCCGGGAAGGATTTTTTTTACAGATACAACGAAGTGTTACAACTGAAATAGCATGCTTCTTCGAAACATAAGTCGATAACATTTACAATTACCACAGAACGTGGAATAACAGAAAACACTAACATGAGCTAAAGTGTGAACTAGTGAAAAAGGCAGTGACAGTAAAAGGCAACCGTCAATTCAAAATGGGATGTTAGAACGGTTAAGCTAGGTAAGAAGAAAAGTATACGATAAATCAAGGCTAGAAAAAATAGAAGAGCAAATGAAATCAACGAGAAACAATCATCAACCGTTAGCCGCATCCACGAAGAGGTCCTGCAACCCATACAGATCTTAGAAAGTGTATCCGCAAATATAAGCATTTGTCGAGATGGAGCTGTATTGTTAAAACATATGGAAACCAGAGAATAAAAATGTGCGGATGTCGTTATGATAAAATTCGTGTGTTAAGTAATCGAGCAATAGTTGAAAAATTGCGCACCGTTCTAAAATTTGGCGTAGCACAACGCGATAAGTAGGGAACAACGCGACGACAACCGAACAAGCTAATAGTGTTGTTTTCACTGTAGTGAACTTAAACAAACGATACAATTGCACTTATTACCAGTCCTTAAAGGCTGCTAAACACAAAAAATACATTTGTTGTTCTGTTCAAATATAGCAAACGACAGTCAGTAATACACTCGAAAAGTATATTTGGGACAATGGTTTTCACAACCTTGAACAAAGGAACCAGGTGTTAACTTACGCAAAACTTACTTATGTTAAAAGTAAGAAGCACCGTTTATTAGTATTAAATATATGTGCAATTTTTCGTTTGTTTACGAAAACATTTTAAAGCAGCATTCAAAATATTTTAACTCGTAGTTATCCCTAAAATGCAACCTGCAGCAACCTTTTTCGATATGAACGGTGTTAATGCCTTTTGTTGTAGAACACACGCTAAACAGCATAGAGCTTATTTCACTCTGGTTTGTCTAAAGCGACTTGCGCATTTCTAGTTAAGAAATCCCATTTACCTAGAAAATGTGTCTAGTGTTTTCCTTCTAAGTAGCTCATTTTTTTCAGCCGATGTTTACACGGACAGCGCATATCTGTGGTTCTTTCAGCCCAAGCACTCGCTTTATTTATTGTAAACTCCCTGGATCATTTTGAACATTATTCTTGATTAATCCATTGCTGCAGTTCTGAATCTCGCTGAGCGAAAAATGCAATAGGCTCACCGTACAAGCTATTGACATATCCTTTCTAATTGAGGAACGTTTACTTTATTGAATGTTTCAAAACATTTTTCATTCTATGGCGTATCCATGATAGAAAATATCACTTTGGTAAGCAGGAGCTGTTTACAACACTCGGTTTTTTATGTTGTCAAATGCTTTATATATCTAAGTGTAAGCAACAACCGCATCTGCCATTTGAAGTGCACAGATGATTTGGTGTTGTAAAAATAACAATATTATTCAAGGTTGGCTTAATAAAATAAAGTCTAATACGTGAGGCTCCATGAGCACTCACTAAATGACCAATGAGTTTATCCCTAAAAGGCTTTTATATGAACCTTGTGTCATTTCAAACATTGGTGTTAGTACTCATTTTCTACAACACTTTTGGCATCACCTAGCTACTTTATTTTATGAAAATAAAACTTGGAAAATTTCACTGTTCTGGGAAACTTGAATTATTTTGATCACCTTGCAAAATCAAAACAAACAAATAGGAATACTAACTAAGTTGCTAAGTGGCAAAAATTGTGTAATACATAGTTTATAAATTTTAAATAGCAAATATATTAAATTGTCATGTGAATCTTCATAATACCTTCCACAAATTATCCTACATATTAACTTATACGCAGCAACATTTTAATGTTAAAGGTGGAAAAAGCGACTGAATTAGCTTACTGCACTAGTCACAATTTTAGGTTAAGTTCATTTCATTCGCTATTCGTTTAAAAGGCAACAGTGAGATCGGAGTAATCAGATGATCAATTTTTGAGATTTGTGAATTCAATGTCATTTAAGCTTTATAAAGAATACGGTTTGCCTTAAGGAAATTCGATTATCACAAAAATTAATGATAGTACTTTATCAAATTTCAAGGACGTTTCAGCTCATTCCCACTTTTTTAATGACAAGAGTGTAATGGCGGCAAAAGACACTGAAGAGGTTTTTGGTGCTCTTTTTCACATTCTTGTTTAGACCGTGGAATTCTTTTCAGAAGATGGCATTTTTTCGCTTAATCCGCTTTCATGGTTTAGGTTAGCATGGTTTTATTTCGGCATAAATTTTTGTTCCATAGACCATCTAGTCATATTACCCATGCGGTTGTGTCTAGCAATATTGTATTCGCAGCTACAACCTCGAACACACTTATTATGGCTGGGGCCTTCGATCGAAGCTACTTTAAAGGCAAGTTGCTCCTTGATCACGATGTTTCGATTACTTACATGCTTTAACCAAATTCTTTTTGTTGTTAATTTTAAGTGCCATTGCTCCTATGGCTACGTCTTGATCTGCATTTTTAAAATATGCCTATTGTCCTGGAAATATAGGCCACGCTCTTTTTTTTCGTTTAATAAATGAAAGACCCTCGGATGACGCCTCATATTTCGAGCTGGCTCGATGGATTTCCTAAAAATAAATTTACTCTTTGTCGTGTATTCTTTTCAAAGCCCCGACAACCGATGCTAGCTTCTCAGTACAATGTGTAGCTCCTTTAAAAGTTGGTTCTGATTCTTTTTATACTTTACCTCAGAAACCGAAATTTGTCAACAGTCTGATGATCGCGTACACAACCTTTTTGTGGACTCTCGAGGCTGTCATATTGTCATCAGTATGCAATCTGGCGTTAACTATTACACAACCAGAAAGTGTATGAAAATCAAACAACTTTCAAAGGCGAAAGTGCGTTATTCATACATTTGACCGTATAGGATTTGCTAATTGATTCCGTGGCCTGGAATCCTTTCAATGAGAGTGACACAGCGACCCAGGAGATTCTTATTGGTGCGAACGATGGGAGTATTTTCGAAGCAGTGATTTCAAGTTCCGAGGAACGCTTGCGCACCACATGTAATACAGTCTTATGGAAAAATGTATGTGTTTTGGTTCCTTGTGTCGATCAATTGTGCATAGAATTTCTGAGTATTTTGAATATCTGTTGAACAAGAATTTTCATCTATAATGTTAATTACGCGGATTTCGTTTTCATGATATCTGTTACCTTGAATCCTGCCTCATTCTGACGTCCCGGCAGAACGTAATCTTTTTTGCATTTAATTCATAGTCCTATTAAAATTTTACTCATCAATCGCTTTGGAGTGATTATTAAGAATCAAAACCCTTACCCGCCAACAGAAAGTTTGAAAGTCATAGTCCATCGTTCAGTTACCTATTTAACAAAATGCCTAAGTCGATAAGTTTATATGGAATGGTAACACAAAATGTATAAAGTATTTCCACGAGGTTTCTGCGTCCTATTCGTGTGGTATTCGCCTGTGTTTGCTTTTATTCAATTTTATTTCTAGCTAATTAAACTAGATAATAGTGTTACGGGTTTGGCTGTTGTCCGTTATCCACCCGGATCTCCACTCGTACCTGTTGGCGAACCGCAGATGTGTGTCGTTTTCGCTTCCACACCCGGTCGACTCTACCAGTTTGTTGGGCGTATCCAGTCACCTGATCTCACTCCTTCCCGTCTTTACATAAATGCTCAAGCTGCTGCCACTGCCCTACGTGAGGGATACCTTCCTGGGCTCTATGCACCAGTTTTTGCGGCCTACGCACAAAATCTCTCAGGTACAATTTTGGAACTTGCTGGGTAATCGGTCATTTTACAGCAAGTTCTCTGGGTGATGCCGCTGAATAAAATACATAAATTATCAATTTTTTTCAACTTGTCAACTTGTCATGGCACCTGGTTATTTGTCTCGCGTGCATTTTAAAATTTCTCACTTCTGAGTAGCTGGTGTCAACGAAGTGCTTCCAATCATCAATTTGACCGCCTGCTAACTGAAAGCTTTTAGTCAAGTCATTTAATCATTTTCTTTTCACTGCTAGGTTCCAAGTGCGTCGAATTCCCAGGCTCCTATGGATATAGTGACTTGAAACTGTTTCAGAAGAACGATGAAGAAGTTCCAAGTCAATTTGCCTGGATGACAGGTAGTATGTCAAATATGATTATGCTGCTTTATCGAATTGTACTGACGATTTTTTATTCTAATTTCAGCTTCAGGTATCTACTTTGGCCGGCTGGACACAACTCGCCTACTGGATCCTGTATTAGCGTCTAGCACTACTGACCCCACCGCCACCGTTCGAATTTCCCTCACAAGCCAAGTTAAGTTGATCCCCTACCCTACAATGGCAGGGGAGTCGGTTGGTCTCCCGCTCAACATTTGTCTCACGGAGTTTCACGTCATTATTGCCTTTGCCGACCGCGTGAAGGCCGTTAATCTTCTCGACGAACGGGCTGTGTTTTCACGAAGTACCCTCGATGCCCTTGCGGGTGCGCAGACTGGTGCTATCTGTAGGGACGCAGCATCGGGTCTCCTCTGGCTGCATAGCTGTAAAACCCTTTGTCAGTTGACCCTGGACCACGAAGATACCCGGATTTGGAAGATTCATCTTGAAAGAGATGAATTCAACGATGCCCGCAAGTATTGCAAGGTTAGTTGTCGTACTGCTTTCCTTAAGATGAATTTTGCTTGTGCTGAAGTTTGCTGTTCGTCTCTAGACTGCGGAGCAGCTGGACCAAATCAACTGTCGGGAAGCGGAATTCTGTTTTGCACGGGGCGAGTAAGAATGTGTTGCTTGACTATTCTGAACCAGATTTTTCGTGTCTCCTGTGTCGAGCTGAAGTATTTCGATCGTTACTGTCTTATGTTTTGCCAACTAATCTGATTTTAGTATTTTAATGTATTTTCGAATGCGTCGTCTGTAATTCTATCACCTTTTTATCCGCATCTTGGGAAATACACGTGAACACTGAAAAATATTTACAATACAATTAATTGCATTATTTAACAGCCGCAATGTTTCCATTTATGGTTGAATCCAGGAACTTTGCATATTACTAACAATCTAAGTTTGCGCAAGTGAACCTACCTCATGGTGTAAAAAAAACTTGTTTGCTATTAGTGGCTTAACTTTAAATGACAAGTCGACACAGTTTGCTTAATTTAATTAACCGACTTCCTTTCTTCATCTCAGCTACATTCGCTCGGCTGAACTATTTGCAGAAACGTCAACTCCGTTTGAGGAGGTAGCGCTTCGTTTCAGCCAGACATCCGTTCTCACATCTGGTAAAGGAGACGTCGAAGGCGCCCCGGTCGCAACCGGAATAGCTCTGACTGAGGACTATGGAGTGGATGGGGAACACAGGAAGTTTGAAAAAGAGGAGCCTGAAGAAAAGGAGAATTCTTCAACCCCTGATGCTGCAATGCCACTTGGTTTGAATCTCCAGCTCCTCACCCCCAGTATCCCGCTTAAAGTCTTCCTCCGAGCCAAATTGAAATTGATTGAAAAAACGTCGGACGAACGCCAAGCAGCCATTGTTGCCCTTTGGCTGATTGAACTGCTCCTGGGAGAGATTGGAGTATATGAGGATAGATGCGGCAAGCCCTGCGTGCCGCTTGCGAGGCAGGAGGAATTGAGCAGTGTGCGCGGCGAATTTCGCCAGCTCATCACATCCTCTGTGATTGAGGTATGGCATGCTTTTGCAGTTTGTTGTCTTAATGGAAGTTACGTGCGTAAGAAATGTTCCAGTTTTGCCTGACTTAATTGCATACTTTGGTATTTGAATTTTGCTTGAAATTGCCTATCAATTTAATCTAAGATGGGATGTTTAGTCAAAGGCTAATGCAATTCGCCACCATGTAAAACACAAAATCGTCGGATTATGTTCCTCCATGGCCGACGAGGAGTTCAATTTGTCCGAATGTTCGTTAAAGTCCACGAGACACACATGCCGCTTTTCGAAGTGAACGTTTTGATCTCTAGTGACGGGGTGTGTTAAACTTCGCACGCTCACCAACACATCACCGCTCTTCAAATTTATTACATATTTCTCTGATGACACAATTATCAAACCCCCAGCACAACCTCCTCGTTCGGGTCTAATTGGGTTTTTTCACTTTTGAACGTTGGGTGCTTGCTGTGGTGCAGGCTTTGGTAAAACTCCGAGCACCAAAAACGGTCACATGGCTGAAGCACAAAATTGAAAAGTGTCGCGACAGCTTCGTCAGTGGATCAAAATTTCTTAAATTTCTAACTGACTTAACAATGATGTTTGGAGGAACTCTTTGTCGTAAATCTGTGGATGAGGATTAGGCTACAGTGCGTTGCCTTCCGTAAAGCTTTCTTTGAACTAAGGTCGTGTATACGGTGAATACCAGGATGTTAAGTACACGTATTTTTTGGACTTTACATAAAAATCGTTCTATTTTTTTTAGAAAATTCTCCCAAATTGCAAGGACCTGATCTACAAGTTGTTGTTGAACCACGGAAACCATACCGATTTAGTCTTCTTTGCTAAAAACATCGGAGGTTAGTAAATGCTTTTCATATTAATGCAAGTGTCTTTAAACTCGCTGATCCAAGTTAAGAACGCTACTGTCATCAATGTGGATCACATTAGCAGTGAATGAATTTCGGGCGCCAGGATTGTAGTCACAGCGGTCCACAAAACCAAAGTCCTAATTAGATTAGAGAACTTTGTCGCATACATTCAAATAATTAACACTAAAACTAAGAGCCTTATTCATTTGGACAGATCATGATCGCCTAATCGACCACTACATGTCCCGGGGAGCCCACACGGAGGCCGTCTTTGTCTTCACCACTCACCCATCGTGTGCGCAAAAACTGTACCAATATAGTGCTCAGTTAGCCTCTAGCGAACCCAGAATGCTTGTTGATGCTTTGATTCGCGCCGGACGGCGTCTTTGCCCTTGCAGGTATGTGAGACGCTTTACAGGAAGTTACCATTGAAGCTAACCACTTGGTGCACTGGTTCCTGTCTTTTCATTCTTAATTGTTTTAAATTTGCCCAGTTTCCTAATGTTTTTGCAGCGTGCGCTATAAAAAAAAAAAACTCACATGAGATAGGTAGCTAGTCGACAGATTTATTCCTATAGGATATCAATGAGTTTTATATTTAGTGGGGCTATATTTTTGTGACTGGACTCTAACTAATCCAGTAATTCTCCCATACAATATGATTAAAAAGCAGTGAAAAAAAACAGATGACGTTTTTTCCCTGTATGCATTTTTAGGTTGCTTCCAAGTGTGTTGCTACTTCCGTCTGACGAAGCGATCCGCTACTTAGAATTCGTGGTTGATCAGTTGCAGTGTCAGGAACAGGCCATACATCACCAACTTATCCTGCTCTATTCTGGCTCCGCCAGCCCCTCAAACGATGTGCGTCTTCTAGGCTACTTGAAACGAAACACATCACCTAGCCTTTGTGAAGTTTTTGCGGGAGCATTTGACGGCCTTAATGAATCCGACAATATGCCCCAGGCACTTTCATCGGCCTATTCCACTCTTGAACCAGGTCAGCTGATTCGAATTCACTTGTACTTTGACACAATCAATCAACCAAAAGTTTTGCTTGATTCATAAATCAATTCTCGTCTTCTATTACATCTGTGAAGGTCTTCTAACTTTAAGCATGCTTCTCAATCGCTTGGAGTATTTAGGAAGGGTGCGTAGTTGGTGCCACATTTTACGTATTCATTGACCTTTATAAAACTAATGTAACTCGTTTTTTTACTTCACTTGCCTTCGGATACGACGTCCCTACTTTTCATAAATAATTTGTTTAGCCCTCCCCTATGATCCCGGTTTCGCAATTCGAACCTCAATGGAAAACGGTTGCCTACGCTCCACAATATTTTTATTGCAGTCTCTGGGGCTTTTTAAACAAGCAGTCGAGGAGGCTCTTTCAAAGGTATTTCGTCTCTACTTTGAAAATTTTGATGTTAACTTGGGTGTATTAGCAATTTTCTAATTTTAGAACGACGTCGCCCTTGCTAAAGAGGTCGTTAATTCGGATATGATTGGAATCGATACTCAGCGCGTCCTTTGGCTACGCATAGGTACCTGGAATTCAAGTTTGTATCTCATTAATACTCACAAATAAATTCTCATTGGTGCATTCCTGTTTATCAGCTCGTCATGTAATCACCGATAAAAGTAACCCACAGGAGGCGACCGCCTTACTCCAAGAATCTGCGCTCCTCGGACTTGAGGACGTATTTCCTCTCTTTCCTGATTTCGTTACCATCGATGAGTTCCGAGTACGTTAAAAGTTCGCATTGGTTTAACATAAACGCGCATTAAACCTCGTTTGTTTAGCACATTGAAGCTACCATTTTGGTGTTTGTTGTTAGCGGAAGCGTTTCTGCTCAAGGTCACCCGATTTTTTCGCTTTGATTCAGTGGCTCAATCTGCAGGTGTTTGGTGTGAACCCTGTGCTTTGAAGGCTTCGATGTATGGCCGCAATTACACGTTTGCGCGCAAATTTCTAGCACTAATTTAAGACGCTCATGAGAAGTTCAAATCACCGCCGATGTGGCTTCCCACTTGTCCAAACAAAACCACACTGGAGTGGTCTGCTTTTTTTACACTGTAGCAAGGTAACATCTCTGCCATTTAGTATGCGGTTTAATTTCGCCATCTAGGTGTCGATTTGAGAGTTCGCTGTGGTTGACAGTATCGTTTAAGTTAGTTCCTTTGTGTGCTCTTCTGATTTCGGGCAGGTCCACCGACGAATTACTCGTCAAGTTCGCTTTAACGATTGTAGAACCTTTAATGTAAACATCGGTGCGTCTGTCGTACAATGCATCTACATTGCCTTTTTAGGAGATAATATGCGCGTCTCTTGACACCTACAATTCGCAAATTGAGCAGCTTAAATCTGAAATGCGAGTTACCGCGGAGAGTTCCAATGAGATTCGCACCCAACTCAACAATCTCAAGTCACAGTAAGCGTTTTGTTCTTTTATCAATAGTGTTTTTTGAAAACACTGCCCTTCTTTTTGCACCTTTTAGCTTCGAATTAATCCCCGAAAATGCTCGTTGTAGCCACTGCCTGTACGCTCTTGCTTTACGAACATTTTACGTGTTTCCCTGTGGCCACTTTTTTCACACTGACTGCCTTATGAACCTGGTGAGTGAGGAGTGGAGGTATTTTGCGCACACTTCTTGCTTTAGCTCGTAGTTATAGTATTTTTACATTTTCGACCCTAAAGGTTCGCCCACACTTGGCTCCCAGTGATGCTGCGAGGTTGGCTGCGTTGTATGCTAGATCGGAAACAGATGGCTCAGTCGTCCAAAAATTTCGGGTATGCTCTTTCTGTTTTTCTTTTATATTCGGTCGGTCCCATTCGTTATTTTTGGCTAACATTCTTTCAATGTAGTATTTTGCTTACCAGCTATTGTGTCTCTATTTACAGTCCCACTTTGATGAGCTTGTCGCAGCGGATTGTGTTCTATGCGGACGCATCGCGGTTGAAAGTGTCACTCGCTTATATTTCGCCGATGCACAAACTTATGAAGCCGAACGAAAACTGTGGCTTTCATCTTAAGAAATTATGCTTTTTAACTTGGTTTTAAGATTGATTTTGCTGTTTTACTAATCAAATTTTTTTAAAGCTATGATATTTTTTACGATTAGTGTTATTCCGTTTCACAAATAATTGTGTTCGACCAGACACTTAACGCAGCTGATAATCGATTTGGCTTAAAGACAATTGAAAGAAGGATAAACATACTTCCTTTCCCATTCTTTAACGGAATTATTTTAAACACCAAACGTTGGCCATCTTATATGCTAATCGTCAGGAGGTTATAACATTGGTTTTCCATGTGGCTGCTGACGTCCACCATAGATTCCATTTTTATGTAGTGAGGAAACCGGTTGTAGCTTGAGTGCTCTCTGATACCTCAAGCGTCGTTTCCTTTGAATCAATGACTCTCATGAAGCTTCCATCTTCGTTGGTGATGTTGTTGTCGGCGGGGTCACCATTTGTTGTGGGCCCCATATAGTGGTCCTGAACCACGCCGGGGCCACAGAATTAACCCTGGCCCGATTACGCTTCCCTAATGCCCGCGATAAAGAAAAAGACCGGAGAGGACGGGACACAATCGTTTACTTCATAGCTCAACCAAAACTGGTGTCGCGTCATGCGTGGGGTTTGCGTGTGTGTGTTTGTACCTCGGATGTGTGAGTCATACATGCGCTAACATCGAGAGCTAGGCGTGAGGATGATCCAAGGTAGTTATTCGTGTGAATGAAGGGGGAGTTGAGGATTCACGTGGCTGGCGCCATGCTGCGAAAAAGGGGAACCCCGTGTCGGCGGCGGGTTGGATAAGCAGGATTCACGACAATGTCAATTGCTCAGGTGTCAGTCGTGAAGTTGCCAGGACACGTTGGTATTTCAAGCATACTATCTGAATGACAGCCCAGCGACTGAGTTGAGTTAAGCGAGTACAGACATGAGCATAAAATATCGTTTGGCATAACCGCATGAATGTGTAGGCACATTAACTGCATCCAATTTGTCATGTCAATGTACTTGTGAGATATTAATAACATGCGCAATGTCGGGGAATTCAAGTGAATACCGTAAAAATTACCGATTTGTAAAAATTTGGGATGCATCATTAAGCGGACTGCTGCTGAGTCACCGTCTGGTTTTGGTAAAGGAATTAGTGTTATAGGTTCAATACAAAAATTAATAAGTTTGAAAAAAAAATAGATGTTTTACAATTGATTCGTGTAGAGCAATGAAAGAATGTGAAAAAGGTGATCAGTGTGATATGTTTCATTACTTATCAGGTTGCGGTATTCCTTGGATGAGGATAAAGTCTATCAGTACGATAAAGTGCACACTTATCGTTAATCTAACCTACCTCTTAGTCGACTTCCTCGTCTTACCGCACCGATTTTGAGAGATTCATCTGCAAGTCGAAGGCCAATAATTTTTTTTAAGTCAAGTTTTTCTATTTAGGTATACTTTTACCTCAAGATAAAGCTTATGCTCACTTTCAATCTACTTGCAAGTGCTCTAAGCTAGCCTATTGGTTATCTCTGTTTATGTTTATTGTGTGGAATTTTTTCGAGTTTTCGATTACTCGACTCACCATAGAGGCACTTTACTACAATATCAATGCATTGTTGCTAGACAAGAAACTTACTAGGAATAATAACTAGATATCCCAAGCTAGTAGGTTAACGATCACAAATCAGTTTAAACATCAGGCTGGTTTTTTTCAATATCTGTCCCCTTAGGCATCATCTAGCAATTATTTCAAACCATACAAAACAAATTAATAAACATGAATAGAAAATGGCCTTTTGTTAGAAATTTAACTATTCTGAACAAGGGGATTTAAGATTTTAATTTCCGTTATTTCACTTAGTGAACATTGATTTTTGTAAAGCATGTTTTCTTCCAGCATTAAAAGACCATCAACGTAAAAAGAATGACAGTCAACCATGATTTTTCATAACAAATTTTGAAAGGCCCTTCATATCACACTGTATGTTTCCATGATGAATCCTTATATCTCAAATTTTGGTATCCCAAGGAGTAGCGCTAATGAAACTTGTTACGTCCCAAAAGCATTATATGTATTTGAACTTGATGAATTGTCTTAAAACGTGAAAAAATCCTTTGACTTACTTAAACTGAACCAGTTTGATGCATGTAGGTAACTTGAATCAATAATGCTGGCGATTGATATCATAACTTTAGTGCTTAACATAAAGATTCGCATAAACGGACACAATGCTTTGAACGTACTCTAAAAAGGGAATTTTCCCGAATTTTCAGGAGCTGAGCCTATAATGAAATCAATCATTTTGCGTTGAATACATTTATCACGAACCCCCTTAACTTGCCTCTTTTTGCAAGAATATCGTGCAGTTATTTTCACTATAATCATGCAGTTTTTTTCAGAATGCAAAAATGTGTCGTGGTGTTTTCTGTAAATAAATACTCCTTTTTGTTGTTGTTGTGAATTCGTGTTTCGAGGAGTTGTAAGAGAAGTTCGCATTCCCACATGGTGTTTTTGTGTCAACCTTCACACCTTGGCTATTTAGTGTTTGATTGGTTCTACGGCAGCCTATTTGCTCAACATAGCCCTTGCGGTCAAAGACAGGTTGTGGCTTTCGTAGTTTTGTGGGTCATTTTGGCGGTTTCCGATGAATGTCGGGAACAATGGTGAGAGTAAAGAATGGGGCAGTGGACCTCGACGAATTATTGCTTCGAGTGTTGGGAGTATCCTGACTTCCTTAGTAATGACACCTCTGGACGTTATTAAAATTCGGATTCAGGTTTTTTTGCCTTCTTTAATAATAAATACTTTAGTCCGCTTCATTACCAGGGAATTGTTCTTTGTACTGTAACTGTGTAATGGATTATCTCTGCGCTTGTGACAATGGTGTCAGTTTACCCCACAGCCGTACCAACATCTGGTACGGACAACGAAGAAATTTTAAGTCGTCATGGGTTCGTGCCCAGGCGTGTTTTAATCCTGAGGGCATCCACTATTGCATTTTCCACTCCGGCTTGAGAAAACTGTGTTCTCCTGCTCTGATATGTAGTCCGAGAAGTAATATGTCTTCTGCAGTAAGATTCCTCATTTTGTGAATGCTCAACGTAACCAATTGACCTTTAGGAGGCTCTTTCAACTATTGTTAGGACGGAAGGTATACTATCTCTTTGGAGCGGTTTATCACCAGCACTGTATGTCATTATCTTAATTAATTTCACGCGACTTTAGGGTAATGGCTCTCCCTCAGACCATAGTTTATTTCTCGATGAACGATTGGTTGAAGGACTACATAAGTTTCAAGTATACCTCACATCGGTACCAAGAAACTAATGCTGCCTTGTTTATTGATTTCATTCCTCCTGTTGTTGGGGCGATATCCCGAATTTTTTCGGTTTTCACAATTTCTCCGTTAGAACTCATGCGAACAAAACTCCAGTCAAAACCAATGAGTTTCAAGTCGTTTACTGAAATCGCCAAATCTGCCGTTGCCCAGGTAAATGTTTTAGCAGCTATGCTTAATGCTAGCACTAAATACGCCTGGTTGTCGTACACATTTCTCTCACCTGATCTGGTGTCTATTTTCTCATGAGTGAATGCTTCTATGAAATTTCTCCATTGTATGATTTCGTCTTGTACAGGATGGTGTTCGAAGCCTATGGACTGGAATGGGCCCCACGCTTCTTCGCGATGTGCCCTTTTCTGCCATCTTCTGGTATGTCTACGATTTCAATAAAAGTCGCTACCTCCGGACTCGCACTTGCATTTCTTCGTATACAAATGTCTCTTCGGCCCACGACTTTCCTGTATTTTTCTTGTTCGGAGCAATGGCGGGCTTTGTAAGTTACTCTTGTTCACAATTTTATTCAAGCACTTGAACTTAATTAGGTTGAGAATTGCAAATTTTGTTTTATGCGTTTCAACCGCCACTGAGTTTTTTTAAATCTAGCCATGTTTAGATGTAACTTATTTGAGGCCAGTGATAAATTTATTTTACGTACCAATTGCTGCTGCCCTTAATTTATGCTTTTTATGACTTAGGCAACGACTTACAATAACACGTTTGGATTTTAAAATCCAATATAACTCTAAAGTGGGCAGTTGGAGTGATCACTTTCTCTTAACGACCTCTTCCTGATAAATTGACCCATTTACCGTTTCCTGGTCGCCGATACTTCTACGTTTATTTTAGACTTATATTCGGCAATCATAATTTTTTTTGTTCTTTTAAGCAGTCTAATTTGCCTATCTAGATATCTCAGTAATTCTAATCGATCTTTTGTACTACATTTATTTGAAAAGCATTACTCTACTGCATATTTCTTTACTTCAGACCGCTGGATTTTTCACGCATCCGTTCGATGTCATTAAAACACATCGCCAGTTAGAGCTTGGAGAATCATTTTTCGCCAGTAAGTTATTCAAGGCTATTGCACTATTAATGTAAAGTCTTCAACAAATTATGCACCTACCAAATGTCAGACGTGGATTGCATCGATGTAGTTCGCCTCAGTTGTAGTGGGCCTTTATAATTCCCTCGAATGTCGTGTGTATCCCAATTTTACTTCTTTTGCAATGTTGTCGTCGTTTAAAATAGAGCAGTTTGTCAGTGTTCTGGATCCAAAATCTCGTCCATTCAATGCTAGAACGAGAGTCGTTTGGAAACATACCGCTCCCGTTGCAATAAATCTCGTAACTTTTTTTTCAAAAGTAACAAATATGACCATTTTAAGGTGTTACTGATCTCACATTGAGCACCAACTTTCTCCTTTGCAAACAAAGTTGTCGCCTGACGCCATTCTTTTCAGTATATCCATTCGCTGTTACAAAAATATTCATTTCCGAATAGCCGTTAATGGCTTTTTATTTTCGCGGGATAGGTTTTAATTTAAACGTACTTGGTATGTGCAATATTGTATATAATACTAATTAGCTAAACACCTATGACTATCAAAAATTTGGGACCGTGATTTTGTGAAAACACGAAATCCCAAATCGCAATCTCTTGGGCTCTTTTATTGTCTCGCACAAAGTTCTTATTTCGGTTTGCCTTTAAAGATCGGACCACTTCTACTTCAACCTGGAAAGCCCTGCGACAGCTTTACAACCGAAAAGGTCTTCAAGCCCTCTTTAGCGGTAGGTTTTTCGGCCTGGTGAATGTGTAGGATGCTCTTAATGCACATGTTAGGCATGTGGAACAATTTTTTTCTGGAAACCTGTTTAAGTTTTTTTGTGCTTCTAATCTAGTATCAACTTACCTGTTGTCTTGGTAAACAAAGGGACCCCTACTGCCCTTTAGCCCTCCAGACTAATTTTTCGGGTGGTGGTTGCCAGAGGGAATAAGCAAATTCCGATTTTGTGCTTCAACTTCTGCACCGAACGACGAAAATCAATGAAATTTACCACGACACCCTTCAAAAAATTTTCTAATTTCTGTTATGCTAGGATGGTAAATAACGGCCCCACACGTGAGAAACAGAGGGAAGATCATTTATTAATCAGCTATTAGAGTAAACGAAGTTATTTTGAGCAACTCGGTGGTTAGGGAGCTGTACGTCTATTGTGGGTATAAGTCCAGAGTCCGGTTCGTAGTGATATTCGCCTTGAGAAATGCAGGCTTAAAGCGACCAGAATTGTTATTGGTGCTATCTTTGGACTTACCAATTTGCCTTTTGAATAGCATTTAAAACGCTGTCTAATTTAATTTCATGCACTCCGTATCCCAGTGGAATGCCGAGTTCATATATTCTTAAAATATTCATGAGTGGAACTCTTTCAGGCGATCGTTGAACGATGGCATCTTTCCTTTAAATGGAACTAATTGCCTGAATCTTGTTTACACTTTACTGTAGGTGTTATGCCGCGCCTTTTGAAGACGACAACAGCATCAGCGTTGATGGTTTCAGTATTCGAGGTTGTGAAGCGGAACCTATCAAAATGACCCGTGATTTTACACCTCTTAAATACATTTCTGTCTTTCTACCCACCATTTGAACGGGCTCTGATGATTGTACATACTCCTTTATATCCAAGTTGCAGTGATTGACTGAGAATAAAGAGATTGTGTTGGCTTTGTTGCTTCTGTGCGCTTTCATGTGTTTTGCGTATTTGATCAAGTTAAATAAGAAAAAACCTTTAGAGGTTGACAAAGGCTAATTATTCAAACTCCTGTTGGATAAATGACAAAAAACATTTTGGTATGGTTTAAATGTCGAGACCTTCTGCAAATTCCGTGTTATCGGTGACACGTCTACGGAATTGTTAGTGCTCCACTTGTACTCAGTGTCTGCGACGTTTACCGTGACATCCCCTATTCATAATTTTTTTAAACTCCGATTCGCTCACTGGACGACCAGAACACAGATAGCCCCAATGTGGATGAAAAAAATACGTTATCGAACGTTCCAAATCTTTTTTATTCTCGTTAATTCGGCGATTCAACTCACTAATGGGACTCAAGTATTAGTAAAGGAGTATTGTTTACAACGTTATTCACAGCTTTGGATAACATCTGCCCCCTCCTTTTACCGGCGCACTCGGTTATTAAGTGTCAACGTTTGCTGTCGGATATCGAAGGATAATGTTTATTAGAAGTGGTAAGACGCTTAGAACTAAAAAGGCTATGGCAAGAGAGGCTTAAAAACCATGTACCATGTGAATGGCCGTCGGTCAAAGTCGACTATAATCTGGTGACACTACCAACTACTGAGATTAAGAAATCGAGTCGTGATTCAAAATTATATCACGCGTTTTTTAAGTTAAATCCATTCTGCCGTTGAACATAAAGCGAAACACGCGTGTCTCACGTGTAATGAGTTGTCTGTGGAATCACGTGAGCGAAGCTTGTTCAGGGGTTAATCTGGTGTCAGTGATTCACCCTTCGTGGTTTTCTGTTAGCCACCAATAATCAAGCTCTCACAAAGGCAAACCTAGCTGGTTTGACCCTAGTAAACGGTCTTATCTGCTGAAGCCTGTCCTGTCCCTTTTCTCGAGGTGTTAGCTAGCAGCGTTGTAACGGAACACAACCTAACCTCTGCACACACACATGCAGGAGTTCTGCAAAGGAAAGGTGCTATCGAGCACAATGCAATTTTCGATGCAGAAGCAGGCCATAAAGTTGCAAAGAAAGTTTTGGATAAAAATTTGCGTAAACTAATGAGGTAGCAAAAGCCCTTTTGGACAAATTGCTCGATGAGCCGTCCTTAAAGGCCGAAGACACCCAGCCTTGGCCAATTTAATCCAGCATACGAAAGCCTGTGAAACAATTTTAACTTTGTGAAATGTACACAAAATTTTCGAGGCGATCGTGAACAGACTGCCAATTCCACTGCTGTTTAAAGGGCACAAGGTAGCTAGCAGAACTCAAAAGCAAGGAGAAACATGTCATTTTTATGATTATTATGATATTGCCAGCTACGGGTTGGTGATGTAGCTGTCAACTTTGGGAATCCAGGATTCTCCAAGATGACGTCATTGTTTGCGCTAATTTCCAACCCGCGCCTCATCGGCGGGTGTCACCCGCGACAACCTACTGACAAACCCATCTGCTAATTCGCTCATCCATTAGGTCAAGGTCACCCCTGAATTATATACGCGTTGACATTCAGACAGATGACTCGGCCATTGGCAGAGACGATAAAAGCTCTCCGTACGAGGTCTTGTCCTGCATTAGCGTCGGTTCTAGAGTCAGCAAAGAGATCTGGGTACCGGCTATCTGAGTGGCTGTTCTCTGGATTACGTGCAGAGATAATACAACTAAATTCGCAAGCATGCAAGACCTCAACAAACAGTGTACGCATGCGACAGTTGTTATTACCACGAACGTGGTTGTTCAGTTTCGCATAGTAGTCTACCCTGCTGGAAATGATTACCTCACCGATAGATAAATAGATTTACGTTCTTATAAAATAAAGGTTGTAGGTGGTTCACTAGCTGAAGTTTTGTCGGCATTCCTTGGAGGCAAATCTTGTTGCTCAGGACTACTGATCGTCGCGAAGTTGTACTATTCGTGGCTACGGAGGACTGGATTATACACTATTACATTTCTCCGGTGGTGATAGTACTTAAAAACTAGAAATTACGAATGATTGAACAGATAAATAAATTTGCTGTCTACGGAATAGTGTGTTAGAAAGTGATCCAAATAGGTTTTGAAACAAAGTTTCAGAACTTTTGCCCGACCGATAAGTTGGTTTCTGTTCTAGGGACGGGAAGAGTTCGCCAAAGAAGCTAATTCTGAGAAAATCTGACCAGTATTGTGTCATTTTCAATGCATTTGTCATTACAAACATTGTTAATCCCGACAAACCCAGGAAGGCATTAAGTTCCGACCCAATGTCAGTCGTAAATTACACAACGCATTCTGTGGTAAATCCAGGTATGCCTTCACGTAACCCACGCACAAAATTATTTACCATATACTACATAATAGCGATCTTGTGAAGCATTGAAAACAAAGCAACATTTGTCATTGTTGATAATAAATTATCACACCACTCCTGATGTTTTGACAACGCAACAGCTGGCTGATATAACTAACTCTTACTTATTTTAATGCAATGACTTGATGGAAATACATAATATAAGACATTTTTCTCTGAATACGGGTGTCGGCATGCTTCTGCACACAGCAAAGCAATTTAGAATACCAACGCAACTTTTTGTTTTGCAGGAAGTTTTCTGTTGTCCGTTTAGCATAAAGGGACTGTATCCATGGAGGGAGCCACTACAATGTTGCTATTTTGTAGGTCCTGTTTGAGTTATGACTTCGACCATATTTGTAGGCGCTGGGAAGTCAGAATTGTCCCAAGATCATGCTTATTTAAAATATGGGATTGGGGACTTCTCTATTCCTGCAACTTACAAGTTGCATATTAAAATGTTTACATTGGTAGGTTGCCATGGGGGTCATTCCCTCACAATTTTGCTGTCGAGTGGGTGCGTACATAAGTCGTAGTATGGAAAATGCAGGTGCAGCAGAGGAGGCATTATTGACATACTCTGAGCCAGAATCGTCCGTCAGACGCCGTTGAACCAAGCCTGCAGCGACGTATAATCTTCTGTCTTTTGCGTTTTTGTGGCATGCGAGGAAGATCTGCAGCCAAAAAGACAGATACGTATGCAAAGCAGTATATAATGAGCGGCTCAGCCAGCGTGAGGTACTCGGATGGACGGCGCCTGACGTGTGGTTCTGGCTTGTGATTGGTCAATAAAGCCTGTTCTGTAGTATCAATCTTCTTCATATTATGGCGCGGGTATTCTACAGGTCTTCCAAACTGGATGCATTGCCCGTTATAGAGTGTTTCTTATTTAGCATCGTCTCCTGTTGGCTGCTGATCTTCTTTGTAGGCTACTTAAACTGTGACGCTTTTGATCATAACCGAAATCAGGTTCGGGGACCATTACACAAATGCTCTGCGAACGCAAGTTCCACCTCAGAAGAGAATAATGCATACAGCGTAATTTGCTGTCTCGAGCAACAGTCCAAGGTCAAGTGTGTTTTAAGATCGCCCACCTGTAAATACCTGTTCGATCTTTATCCGATGAGAATGAGTACCATTGAGCTACGAGTTGTTTGTGAGAGACGATATTGCTTGACCGTAGAGTTGTAGTCGTGTGAACAGTGCCGGGTAAAAAATAAATTCACAACTCTATATAAATAACATTTTAACATCATCAAGACAAATCTACTAGGATGGAATTTTGGCTGCGACTGGCGTGATCTGTATTGTTATGTCCAGTGCCCTGAAGTGCCGTATTAGGCAGAAGATATTGAATTACACTGAGATTAGCCAAATCACCACTTTTGTGTGTTTGAACAGCATACATTGGAGATCAGTAGCCAAACAGAGATAAAGACGCTTGAAGAGCAATTTGGAATGAATTCCACATCTAGTATAGGTACTTGGATGGATGGTGCTTGACGGATAGTTCTCTCCTGTTGTTGGTTAATGCAGCCTGCACAGTTGTACCTGTCTCCTCTATACTAAGGCTCATGAATTCTACTACCGAAACTACGCAATGAGGCCCAATTCGGAAAACCGACCACTGGGTGAGACGGTTAAAGATTATATCTTGACAAATTATCATTGATTAGATGCTAATATTGTGAGGTTTTCGGAAGTACTTCAGTGGGTTTTGCTTAAATGTGTCGGTTAGAAAGCATAAACGGTACAAATAGATATATGAGTACGTAAATAACGATATCGAAATTAACAGTTTTATGATTAGCGTTCAACATTTGGGGCATTAGCTTTTGCCCCATGATTTCTTAATGATCACTGTCTTTTAGGGCGATGAATCTTTAAGATTGCTTAAAAGTAAGTAAAAATGGGATGATTAGTGTAAAACGTAAGGAGGAATGGCATATCTTTTCCTTAGTAAACCAAGACTTGCTTTAGCGTTGGATGATGCATTTTTCCATTTAAAATATGTGTGGTGCTAATTTCTGCCGCTTCCTTTGGTCAGAGGTTTAACACCGCCTTCGTCGATGGGACATTGCTAAATATTTGCACTTTGTTAATTTAAACAAGGTTAATTGGGGAGATGATAAAGCCACCAAAGACCACATGACTGCTAAAGATTACTTCAGAATTAAGAGAAATTGATTGTAAGATACAAAATGGTAAGCCGCACTTTGAAACAATAAAGACGGAATTTATTCGCAGCAACTCAAACAATACAAGTGAGTAAATAGCAGTATCGTTTGGCAAGAGCTCAGAAGAGAATGGGAAAAAATAGAATATGAATTTACTTCTGGATACTAAGGTGGCCAGTAATTCAGTCATTTCAAACGACTTAGAATCAAAGGCTAAATTATGGTTGGGGTAAGGCGATTAGTTGCATCGAATTATCGCCTGCTCAGTTTGTTAACTGATTAAAAACTTACGCTTAAGGTCCTTTATAGTTTTAATTTCGGTGAGCAGAAATCAGAAGAGTAAAAAGCAAAAATGTTTCAATTTAGGACTTATTCATTGCTATGCACCGAAGGATAATTGATATTCGCTATTTTAGTTCAATGCACAACTTAATACCATTATAATACAGTATGTATTCACACTTTTTTTAATGTTATTAATGCACTTGTCAGCAGTAATTTGTCAATAGAAAGGAAAAAAATTAATAATTCCTTTTACAAATCGGGACAAATGAGAATCTCAAGAGACCTTAATGTACATCTCGATTCAACGTTTTTTTTTCACGACACATGAGTGGACAGACTGGGTATGAGTATAGAAAAGAAAAAATGTGAGAAAAAGATGTGGCTTTTACTGGAGCTCCAGCAGCAGTTTTTGTGATTATCTTATGTAGTTGTTTTTTAAAAGTCACTGGAGTTGAAAGCCAGTGGTTAAAATGAGGAGTGCGTGCTTCTTAAAAGTCAGTTTAGACCTAGTATTGTGCGCCATCCACACTGTCTAGCAGCTTTTATAAAATCCAGTAGATCGTGGTGGTAAATTAAGGCTGACTCCCATCATCCGCGACTGGCCTAGGTGGGGATGGATTAGTGAAATCTACACTGGTTTCTCAGACTACATTAGTTATTTATAAAGCGTCTTGTAAAAGCCTAAGTTTTATATGAACAGAAGTAAATGTTTAGTTTTTTTATTATCTCGAAAGAAATGAATTTCGAACACTTCTGTTGTGCCACCACCAATGTTGTTGGACTCTCAAGGTCATCCTGAGCTTCACGAGTCCCGCCATTAATTTTTGGTGTTTCTTTGTCTTTATTGTTTAGCTAAGTTTAAACGTTCAAAGTGGATATGTTTGCTGTTGTCGTTCATGCTGGCGCTGGTTTTCACGCTCCCTCGAATGAATCTACATACAAAGATGCCTGCTTGAATGCTTGCTTGGCTGCCGCACAAATTCTCGAACGTTCAAACACTACATTCCCTGCCATCGATGCAGCAACGTCTGCCGTCTCGGTTTTAGAGGACAGCTATATCACTAATGCTGGATATGGAAGCTGCTTAAATTTTGATGGCTATGTGGAATGCGACGCCGGTCTTATGTGTGGCAAAAGCCTTGTATTTACCTCTGTTGGAAGTGTTTCCAACGTAAAGAATCCGATTGAAATCCCGAGGCATTTAATATTGCGACATCTCACTGAACCGGCTTCCGTTATCGGTCGAGTTAAGCCCCTAAGTCTGTGTGGCGACGGAGCTAGGCGTTATGCATCCGAAGTCGCAGGTCTTCCCCTTACTCCAGATAACCGTCTCATTTCAAAGTCTGCAAGATCTAGTTGGCGAAAGTATCGGGCGCTTGTCGATGAACATGAGTCGAATGTCGTGGATGCTTCGACTAGAAATGGCAATTCTCGCGAGGGTTTGTCTTCATCTCTCAAAAGATCAAGAATTTGGGATAGACTTGACACCGTGGGTGCCGTTTGTCTTGATATCTCTGGCAATATTTGTGCTGCTTCTTCCAGTGGTGGCATTCCGCTAAAAATAGGAGGTCGTGTTGGACAGGCCTGCATTTACGGTTGTGGTTCCTGGGCAGAAGTCACTCCTTCCGTTTCTGTCGGTTGCGTTACGTCCGGCACAGGGGAACAACTAATAAAAACACAGCTTGCCCAACGAATAGCTTCTGAAATTCTCGTTGAAAAGAATAAACCTATTCCTGATGTTGTAAATAATGCTTTCCAGAGAGAATTTCTTGCTTCACGCTTCTTGGCGAAAGAAACGACTGAGAAATTTGGAGGAGTTGTTGGCTTGTGCAGGACGCCAGGTGATACCCAAGATCCCTATTTGCCCCGTGTAGTCGAATTATTTTTTAAGCATTCTACCAAATCTTTGGCCTACGCCTATTTTGTTAGCGGTGCAATGAAAAAGCCGAAGGCTGAAATATCGCGTATGTCGCACGGCTCATCTACCGCATCAAATTATTACGCGTTCGCCTGTAAATAAGGATGTAAATATACTTTTATAGAAAAACTGAGTGTTTTATTTACGCATACCCCTTACCGATTGTCGTAGAATATACTAATTTAGATGCCGAAAAAACCTGTCCCCGAGGGTATGGTTGGCGAAGCCTCAGAATCGGACGACACTCTCTCATCGACCGACAAATCCCGGAAGTCCGTTTCTTTAAAGGTGTGTTTTATAGTGTCTTGATAGTAGCTAATGTTTACTCTCAATCTACGTTGTCAGTTTCTTTTCACAAATGCAAATTTAACAGGTTTTTTACTGACAGCAAGTATAGATAACTAAGGCGAATTTGATTCCTTTTATAGTGGTATATGTTGAACACGTCTATTTCTTTTTTGTGGTCTTCCTTTGCTGATCCCCATTATCTCTTTTTATTCCACGTGATGGTCATCTTTGTACCTGGTATATAAGCTTGATTCTCTCTATTAGCGTTGGCTTAGGTTTTTGCAAAGTATGAAATCAGGACCATGTGTATAAACAGTTTTCGGAGTAATTTCTCGGTGGTGGTTGCGCTTAAATGGTAGGTTAATGCTAGGTAACGAATTGCGTTTTTGATTTTTTGTAGGATTCAATTTTTCACACCATTTTTACCCGTTTGAAGAAAGTCAAAAAAGACGATGGTACCTCGCTTGTGTATGCCTTGCGGCTGCCCAATAGAAGGTATTTGAATTCTTCTGTGGCCACTTACTTTTTTGGTTTCGATGAAAACTACCTAGTTGTTCGTTATAGGAGTAATCCGGATTATTACGAGACGGTGGCAAATCCAATCGATCCAGACAAAATTTCAGCCAAAGTCAAAGCCCGCAAGTATGAAACAGTTGAAGAAATGGCTGAAGACGTTAAGCTTTTAGTCTCCAACACTCATTCTTTTTTCGGGGCTGCAAGTCAAGAGGGTCGTGATGCCACTTTCTTCGAGGAGGCTTTTCTTAAAGGCCTTCAAGAATCGCAACAACCCACGTCTAAAGCTCCTTCTGTCGCCTCCTCAAGTAGCAGTTGTAAGTCACTGTTTTTGTGTTTTTTGTTTATGAAATTTAATCGTAATTTTAAAATCCCTGCATTTTAGTAACTAATCGGTCGGCCCGACGCAGTATGAAGCGTGAAAAGACAGACGATGAAGAGGTCAGTCCAAGTTTGAATTCAGAGATATTAGTTTTACACACTGCCGTTATTTATTCTGTACTGCCTTCCTCATGCAGACCGACTTCGATGCTGCGTCTGTCGCTGCTTCCGAAATATCAGAGACGAGTACTACTACAAGCCATCGGATTACAGTTAACGAGCAAGCATTGAAGGTTTTTTTCTCATCAATTGTTACCCATGAATTGGAAGAAGGCAGGCAGATTTCGCAAACGTTTTCCACTCTCCCGTCAAAACAGGTGCGTCATCATTCATTTATTAAAATCTTGATGTTCAATTTGCTAAGTGCCATGATTTTCCTTTAAGCTTTACCCGCAATACTACCAGATAATCACAAACCCAATCGACCTCCGAACAATCGCTCAACGCATTTTAAATGGGTTTTATCACACATTTGGTGAGCTAGAACGAGATTTTGTTCAGATGGCAAGGAATGCCAAGCATTTCAACGAACCCAAGTCACAAATTTATCAGGTAAGGCATAACCTTTTTTCGACCATTCACCACCAAGGTATTCCGCGTGAATAATTCTATTTCTTTCTTTAGGATGCAGTGTCGCTTTTGCGGATCGTTAAAGAAAAAAAAGGAGCTGTGAAGAGGCGATTAAAGGCCGACCCCGATGAAATCCAGGATGAGTAAGCTTTGTTCTTTTCATAACGGTTGTATTTTATACCGTCCCATTGACTTTTTTGTGATCTAAATTCCTCGAAAATATGGATCGTGAGTTTCGGGAATGTTCATTTTTGTACATCTGACTTTTTGTTGAACTCTTGTACTGGCCTTCCGTTACTGTAAATCAAAGCTCACATTTATATACGATCGAAGCATTGCCCATCTTTATCTGTTTTTATTTAAGTAGTATTTAGCTCTTCGAAACTCAACATGACGTGGCTTGCAATTTCTCAAAACCTAAATGAAATTTCATTTCTACGAATTCTAGTGTTAGTGCTCATGAGATCACCGAAGACTATGCTAATCTCCCCGACGTGACTGATATGGTTTCTCCTATGTCAAAAATCGAAGACAACGATGAAACAGAAGACTATGAGGGGGATGAAGAGGGTGAGGAAGGATCAGTCACAGCCTCTTCAACGCCAGCGCAACCTGCCGTCGTGAAGCGTCGTCGTGGCCGTCCTCGAAAGCAACCATTAGACAACTTGGTTGCAACTCCCGTATCCCCAGCAGCCTCCGAAGGCTCGGCTGATCGACGCTCGTCTTCCTCCGCGACCACCACACCGGTGGGTGTGGGCGGAGTCGGTAGCGGCGGAAACTCGGCAGTGGTCGACATTTCTTCCCTGATGTTAGACGAACCGGTGGCTCCACCGGGCTCCCCGCCCCACATGGCACCCTTTATTGATCCCTCAGTCCCGGGCGAGGAACAACTGATTCCTACAATGCTCTCAACAGCATCCGTTGGGTCACTGCGCTGGTGGGGAGAACATGTGCTTGAAGCCATCTGCACCGCGACTAATTCAATGGGCACACTGCTTGCACTGCCGTTCATGCGGTTACCTTCTAAAAAGTGAGTTTCCTTGTCGCATTTTTAGAGTCAGCACTTCAAGTGATGCTCATGGTATCAGCTTCTTGAGTTTTACTTATCTGTCCACTTTGGACATTGTAGTACGTAAATTGTGCACTTTCATAGCTGAAAACTTCAAAAACTATCACATAGATATTCTATTTTTTTAGAATTTACCCCGATTATTTCCGGCGAATTCCCAACCCAATCTGTTTGGCCAAGATTCGTCGGAAAATCAAACGTAATGAATATCACAGCTTAGCTGATGTTCGGACCGATATTGACCGTGTCTTCATGAACGCTCAGGCTTACAACGTGGAGGGCAGCGATATTCATAACGTTGCTGTCTACCTTCAGCAGCTGACTAAAAGTAAATTTGTCGAGCTGAGCCAAATAGCAGCGAAGGTATGAGCTGATTGTGACTTTGATGGCACTATTTCTGTCTGAGCCGGGCTGCCTTTTACCAGTGGATGTTTAGTGTGCTGAGTTAAGACCGTCCAATACCAGTGATAGCACATTTCAATCCATACTTCTATGTACAGTGTTGTGGGTAAACATTTTGATTCCCTCTCTTTATGACTGTCCTAAACCATGAAGTTGATGAATTGTTGGAAGATTTTCTTGTGTTAAGGCGTTTACTTTTTGCCCCAATATGCTTGGTGAAATTAAGGCTCACAAGGCACCGCATTTACACCGAACAGACTCCGCTTGTGGTTGTTTGCTTTCGTGCCGACTAGTCTTCAATTTTCTAACCGAACCCATTCATCCTTTTTTTTAAAAAGTCAGTCCATTAAAGGTGGCCTTTTTTATTGGAGGTGGAGAACTCAGGGATGATACCTACCGGCGCAAAAAGGCGTCAGAGCAGATCAACACTTGGCGAGTCAGATGACTTCACCCCCACAAAACGACGCCATCCGATGACTGCCGAAGAAGCTCGTAACAAGCGACTTAACAATCTCTACAATGCCGTTTACAATCATGTTGATGTATGCTATCTTTGCGCGTGTTAGCAATCAAATATGTACCACCTCTTGATGATTTTTCTGATACCTTAGGAGGATGGTCATCGCCCTCGTGACACTTTCATGGTGCTGCCATCAAAGGATGACTACCCTGATTATTATGATGTTATTCAAGAGCCAATTGATCTGACCATGATCAAAGAGCGTATGGAAACCAATAAGGTGAGCTTTTCTGCCTGTCTCTGGCACAAACTCTTTGGTTTCTAATCTGTTGCTTTTTTTAGTACCCGACACATCAAGCGATGGTTGCGGATCTGCGACTTATGTTCAACAACGCCCGTCGTTATAACGAGGAGGATTCCCAGGTTTATCGTGACGCTGACACGCTCGACAGAGTTGTGAAGAAGAGGTTAAAAAGCCTCGGACCCTATGCCAGCTGCCCTCAGGGCATGGCTCGTAGCCCCGGGATCCGTCCGCAACAAGAGTCTGCGTCTCCCTACGGTAGTATGTTGACGATAGCGCAACACTCTGGTCCGGCTATTCCACCTCTCCAGCGGTTGATGTACGAAGTTTTCCAAGCTATTCGTGAGTACCGTGACCCGATGGGGCGTCAACTATCCACCCCTTTTCTCCGTCTACCTAGCAAGGCTGAACTTCCTACCTACTATGAATTTATTAAGCGACCCATCGAGCTTCAGGGAATCGCCAAGTATCTTCTTCAGGGTGGATATACTGATTTTGAGGAGTTTATGTCGGACATCTTCCTCATGTTTGATAATGCATGTGCTTTCAACGAACCAGACTCCCAAATTTATAAGGACACGTTAGTTCTCCATCAAGTTGCTCTAGCTAAGCGGAACATGCTTCTTTCAGCAGCTTTTTCATCGGGAACTGTGATACCTGGTCTGATGCCTTCCAGTGCACCAGATATTGTGCCAGGCATACGCCGACTACTAACTAGTTTGCATAACGCTATGCTGACTGCATGTGATACGGATGGTCGAGGTCTTGTGGACTCTCTTATTGCTGGTGATGGGACAGAAATCTCAGTGACTTCTGCTACTGCCGCGCGATTGGCCGCGCTCCACCGGAGCGTTGCGGCTGGAGCCTACCGTCGACTAGATCGCTTGCAAGCTGACTGGCTCGAGGTGCTTCGTCGTGCTCGTGTGGGCGAGGAGGAGGAGCGAATGGCTGCGCTCTCCGAAGTAGACGCAATGAGTAATCGACCAACTCCACAACAGCGCCAAGACGCCGCAGAACTCGCTAGACGTTGGGTTCGTCTTCGCGATAGTATGTGCAGGCGTGCCATGACTGGCGGTACTACCAACTTGCAGTCCAATGTTGCTGGTGAATCAAGTGGGAGTGAGTCAGGGGGCGGAGCATCATCGGCAATGTCTCTTCCCACCGGATGGCATATTGTAAGTACGGCTATGAGCTACACCGAAGCCGCGTTGGAACGGGATCTAAAAAACGAAGTGGCTCAACAGGAACCAATGGTTTTCAGTGACGACGATGGGGAAGAGGATTTACCAACGCTTGAGGATGGGGAAAATGAGGTGCAGGTAAGACCAGACATTTTGAAACAAATTATGGTTTTATCGATTGTTCCGCTCTACTTTTGCGTCCTATTGTTACAGTCAGTTGAATCGAAGGGCCAAGTATACCGCGTCAATGACTACGTCTACATTGAACCGCTACGGCAAGACGTAACTCAGTGCCACGTCGGCAGAATTACGCGGATCTCTGAGGTCAGCGCCAAGAGGGAGAGCGAGGGGGAAGGGACGAACCTGTCACCCACCGAAATCAGGGTGCGAGTAGCTCTATACATGCGCCCGTCAGAAGCAAAACCGTCGCGTCGCAGACGACTCTTGGCAGCTGAAGTATTTCGTACGGCTTCCAATGAAGTTGTATCGCCAAGCAAACTCGCGGGCCACTGCCTTGTCATGCACATATCTCACTTCATCCGTTGCCGCCCAAGGGTGAGCAAATTTACGCGGTGAAAATTTGCCAGTTGGGTGTCAGGTCATCTTTATGCTCAGTTTATTTATTTTTAGAACATCGAAGAGCGTGACGTGTATGTGTGCGAGTCACAATATTCAATTACCGGACAAATATTCGTAAAAATACGGGTAAGTCATTTGTGTGGTGGGCGTTTTTGGGCAAGTACCGTTAAAACTATCCTATACATTCGCTTCAAGTCAAAGTATTTTCTGGAACTCGTGTCAGCAGTGTTGCCCTCTTGATTTTGTTAAGGCTGCTAATTTCACTTCGGGACATGGGGTATTTCAGGAATACTCTGCCCAATATTCTCTTGATGATTAAGTGCTTCGTAAGTTTTGGAAAGCATGTAGAAGCTTCAACAGGAAGCGATTGCATAATGTCTACTTTCTAGCGATGGGGCGCGCCTACTCCAAACGGTATCGAGCTTGAAGACCGTCAGGCGCCCTTCGTGCCCACACGTCTGCCCCCGAGTGAGCCGCTGGAGAGCGCACTTGAACAGGTCAACACAAGTTCCTTCTCCTGTATGACGTTCCCCTTACCAAGACCTATTCAAGTAAGTTAAGGCATGCATTTAAGTGCTCAGCTAACTGTTTTCATTGGTAACATTCACCTCATTCGATCAGTGAGAGGTTCGATATTACGCTGTTAAAAGTCCCCTTTCCTTTTAATAAACATTAGGTGGAAGGAACTTTGGTGTGTATCTCAGTCAAGTACATCTACAGGTTTTGTTTTTTTTGTTATTTGCGGTGGTGCAGTTAGTATCTAGTTTAACGTACACAGTCCAGGTTGGTAAAACTAAGATGTGCTTGGCATTTATTTAAACCATTATGCAATTTTTCAGTCTTGCTTTAGTGGATTCTGAGCGTCCTTCAAGGCTTATTGGAGGACCTGCCATTTAATACCGGATGTTATCGTTATATTATCAACGGGTGATTAACCCAAACTTTAGGTGACACCAATTTGTCCTCGTAGTCTGGATGATTGTGTTAATTTGTGGCTTTCGTAATCTAAGCACTGTATTGCTCGTCAACAATCTCACCAACTTGATTCTATATTCATCGTTTCGCAGACGGTAGTGGATGAAGTTTCGAAGACGGAAGGCGTCGTCAGTTACGAACAATATGTTGGCGAGAATAATTTAGTCATTAAACAAGGTAAGCATATTTTACTTTTCCGTTTTTCACCTGCCACTGGAACTTCACCTTGACATGATTCCACTATCTTTCACTAGGCGACTGTCTTTTCTTCCCTTCACCAAGTAATGCATCAGATCGGCAGATCCTCCGAATTGATAGATTATGGAAGAACATGAAGTATGTTGCTCATTATGGTCTCTAATCTGTAGCCAAGGATTCTATTACTTATGCATTAGTGTTTTGAGCGTATCAGCGCATTACAGGTCTTGCTTACCAGTATTACAAGTGCAGTAGGGAGTTGCCAACTCATTGGACATAATTGAATTGACGTAGATTTAAATTCATGGCTTCCTGTATTACGGTGATCGTAGGTGGCGCCTATAGATGTTAGGAGCCGACGCCCATTCTTTCTAGTGCACACATGAGTGTTTTATCGTTTACGCAATGTCCTGACTCTACGAGACTGCATTTGGGATCTGCTAAGATGTATAAGTATTTGTTATTTGGTATGCTTGCGGTCTTTCAACGATTATTACGCTTAGAATTCGATTGAAATAACGTTCGTTAAGGCTGTTCTAAAAAGCTCATGAAATGACTGTTGTACCTTTTTAAGGTTACTATGCAGTGTGGTATATAAAATTTAAAATGTTGAGTCTTTGTCTTTTCCTAGTGAGGAAACCGTATTCGTCACGGGATCAATATTCGTGTTCCCTGTTGAAGTGGACCATCTTCCCACACGTGTTTTCTTTCCACGGGAGGTCTTTTTGACCAACAACGATAAAGCTACATTCCCCATCTCTTCGGCCATGGGAAAATGCCTCGTTATGCGTGCTGCTGATTTTTTTGTTGGTATGAAAACATATTTATACTACACCAATCATCCACTGATATGCGTCCCGTGATACTCACTTTCAGACCTCATGCTCGGTTTCCTTCAAACTGAAAGAATTCTCTACGTCAATTTTTAATTTTTATTTATGTCGTTAATCACTTTTAATGTGAATTCGGGTTATTTGCTATCCATGCATATTTGTGCGCCTTATTCTGGCAGCATTACAACGGACCGATTATTTTCTTTTAAGCTCGACCGACGTCGTATCGTGAGGGAGAAGTTTTCGTCTGTGAATCAAAGTTCTTCGAGGATGAAAAAGTTATTCGCAAACTAAAGAAAGGATTCAAGGTGAGTTTTCCAAGTTGTTTGCATACTTTCTATAAATACTTTATTGTGGGAATCTTTTTTTACTTCAGAAGTACAAGTTCTCTCCTGACACAGTGGAAGATGAGTTTTTCTTCTTCACTCAGCCGATAGTGCCTCACAAGGTTTGTCTTTTTATGCTCTTTATGTATGAAGCCTATTAAAATCGTGTTTTTGCAGTTTGTTGGTTTACGCAGACTCTGCTGACACACCTTGTGCCCAATATCTTATCTAGTATTAAAAGCTAGTCAAAATCCTGTTCACGCTTTACAGATTACTGTCTTTTTTATGGTACAAAGAGACTCCGTTGGATGCGCAAGTAGTAGCTATATTGTGAATGGTAGTTTTCGAATTCGAAAATTTGGCCAAGTCGTCTGGGGAAATGTTTGACGACGTACGCGTTTGAATGTTCAATTTGCACGAAATATTTTGGCTTTTGACGTCGATCTAAAAGTAATCTTGTATCGCGGACAGCTAAATGTCGGCATTGGCAAATGCGTATTTTGTTGTTACACTGTTTTTCAACTTCTACACACTACACTACTATTCGCACGCGGGCATTTGTCAACTTCCTAATGTTTGTGGCTTTTCACCGCAGGAGGCCTCTCCTCTCCTCGTGAAGGCGTCGCCCTCACCACTCAGTTTGGATCAGTTGAATCAGCCGCCGTCGGCAGCCGTTTCTTGTGTTATGGCTGCTGCCAACGGCCAGACGACTTCTGCCGCTGACTTCGCTCCTCGACTCGCCCCCGCACCACCTCAGTCGCCTGACGTGGGACAACTCGCCTTCATGGAGGTCGGGTTGGACAGAAGTGGCAAGAAGGTAAACGTGCTGACCACTCAGTTGATGTCATGCTATCGTGGGTTATTAATATTCCAGAAAATGGAAACAAAACCTCCGTTTTTTAGTAACTTGTTTTTTTGAGTGTGTGGTGTTTACACTTCAAATCTAATACCCTTTTATTAAAGGTGTCTTCGAAATGAATAGGTATTTATCTTAAATGGGGATGTGGCGATTACTTATGGCTTCATCGATATCGCCCCCGATCAAGGAGAAGTGGTACGGTGTGATTGACTAGACTCACACGATGGATGGTTAGACGTACAGTTCCCATGGGAAAGATAGTTTATGTCAAACCACTATTGTTTCGTTTTGACTGTGTCGCTTTTAATGGAATCAGATTTAAATGATAGATCTACTCGCTTTTCAAATTACGGATGGCTACTGTGGTTGCAACGCAACTTTTGAAGAGTCCTGTGCCACGATTTAGTTTGTCACAGGTTTATGCCAATATGTGGTCGAACCATGCTAAAAGGCAGCTGAGATAACTTTCACATGTGCTTGTGAGAAAGTGATAATTCAGAAGACGTGTACAATTAGCTGAAATAGTCGGCCGTAAAGTAAACCCGAATTTGAGATGCTTTAATAGTGCTCCGATATGATAGCACCGTAAATGTCGCAAATCAGAACAGCGGACTTTGTGGAGTTTAACAGGCAAAACGATGAGGATATTTGTCCAAAACATCTAAAACGCTGAAGCTCTCCAGTTAACTATGTCAGTATTGTACTTTGTAGATGTGTACATACCCCTGTCTTTACTTCTACAGAGAAGTTTGATTTCGAAATGATCAAGCTTAGTCGTTAAACGCGGCCTACTCCGCTACACGTGTAATGCATTTGGGTGGGGGAGGTTATCCTTTAACCTACCGGAACTGAATTCTATAATATCCTTAGAACAGGAGCCGTCCAATTTATTTGCTTTCTGATATGTCCTATTCAACCCAAAGCAATATTTTTTTTTGGAAATTTAGCCTAACTGAAATACCTGCATTCACAAAATTACCGCAAAACTTTGCAGACGAGAATCCCATCATGACATCTGCAAACAAGCCTTAGAAATAATTACTTGAAAGTCAAGCGGTTGTTCTGCTCAAAATTTTACCCATTATGTAAGGCCGCTTGGTTGGTTTGTATATTTGCTATACCGTTGTGTCTTGTTAAAAAATATTCAATGTTAACATAACCATTTAACGTAATCATCTGACCGCCTGTCCAAAATTGTATGCTTTGAATTGGGCTGACTTTCAGTCCGATTAAAAGTATGAAATGTGGAAATACATAGAACTCTAGCCACGCAGTACCCTTATTCACCTTCCTCTGATCGAGATGGACCTCGTCTCTATTTACTAGTCGTAATGTTTTACGTCGTTTGATTTATAGATTTGTTTTGTGTTTGGTCAGCTGGGTGCAGTCAAACGGTTTACACCGGTTTTTTGATGACTCACGGGCTTTTCCTAAATTATCTCCATTTCTAATCTCTTAATACTTGGTTTTCGCGTATTTCGCTTCTATCCATGTTTGGCGTTTTCGCTCCATCACTGAAATCCCTTATTCCTCTAGCGAAAACTTCGCAAACCGCCTTCGGGTTATGTAATCTATGCGGGTGAGGTGCGTAAAAAGCTTCTTCAAGATCGTCCTGATGCACCGTTTGGCGAAATATCACGTGAAGTTGGATTAATGGTGAGTTTTCCTCATAAGCCGAAAGCCCAGAAGTTGCTTTTGTTGACTTACCTTTGGCATATTGATTGTTCAATTGACGAGTAACCTGTGAATCAACTTGCAGTATGCACCTTTGGGAGTTCACTTGGACAGAAGTCCCACGTTTCTTAAACTTTGGTGGCCCAAGTGCCCAATTCATAGCCCTACTGGGGTTGAATCTGATTTCTTTTATTATGTCAATAAATCTGATGCATTATTCCAACTCAATTTTTGGTAAGCTAGGTCAAGTTCAAATATTAACGCTTGAATGTTTGTGGTTGAGTAGGCGAAGGTTCGAATACAATTTCCCAATCCAACAGATTCTAAACACCTTCAATCGAAGTGTCAGATCGCTTCAGCATGATTTTGTTTCGAGTAGATTCCCAATCGTTTGTTTGCGCTCAAGGTAGCACAGCAGATGCGGTGTGTCAACATAACTTTCCACCATTGCCTAATAACGGCTATTCGAAATCCCGCTAATACCTGATTCAGCATCTTACTAGAGCGTTTCGCACAAATTAATGCCATGCTTACCATGACAATCGTATATTCGTGGGTGATTTGGTCCTATCAGTTTTCCCAAACGATAGCCTTTTTTATGTATTAACGCTACTATGTTGCCTGTTACCATCAACCTTTGCATTAGACCCAAACGATATAAACGTGTCTAGTAGAAGTTTACAGGGCTTGAACTACTTTTTTTTCAGTGGCGTCAGATGCCTTCACACGAACGAGACATATACGAGCGCAAGGCGCAAGTGATAAAGCGTCGCATGGAGGAGCAGGAGACTCAGCAGAAGGCGCGGCTGCAGGAGCAAGAAAAATTGATGCAGGTACATCCGCACCACCATGAGATGGTCTCTCACGGCGACCCTCATCATGTGGCCATGGCCCCTGGGATGCCGTCGGCATTGGGGGCTGGCAGCGCTCAACCCACCGCCCCCACGATGCCCTCAGCCCTCCCTGTATCGACCCCCCACCACGCAGCCGCTGCCATGCAGTTCTATCAGGCGACTTCTGGCGCCCCTGGCGCGGGACCGGTCATCCAGCTAATGCATGCCACCACCACCTCGTCGACCGTTGCCAATGCTGCCCCATCCCCGATGCAACCTCGATCTGGCATAGTTGAGTCGCCACTTGTTGCCGGTGCGACCGTTCTTGCCAATCCGATGTCGCACGCACCTGTTCTTGCCACCACCGCCGGACAACAGGTTGGTATCCGAAGCTCGTCTAATACTACTACTTGTCCGTTTTGCACTAATTGCGTCACAAGACGAAAACTATAGTCTCCCTCATGTTTTCCCAGATGAACGTGAATAGTTATCATATATTTTCTAAACATACTGGAACCCATGTTCGTAAAATGAGGAAGTGCACTTTTGTCTATCCATTCCTGGAAGTAGGCAGAAAAAGCGGCAACCAAGCAAAACGAAAATCCCAGCAACTAGTTGAGGAAGTTTGCCATGTTTGTAAAAGTATATTTTATTGGAATTGTGGTTAAAGTACTATGGGCTGGCAGCGTAATCTTCTCCTTCCATCAGGTGGTCTATCAGTTCGCAAATCAGCAGGCTTCGGGCATAGCCCCACCACCAAACGTGAACCTTGGTGGCCCACAGGTCATCCTGACGCACCCACATCACCCGCAGATGGGCGGGCACCACGCTCATCCTCACCACCAGCACCAAGCTCAGCCTCCGCCTCAGCCTTTCGGAGTGGTGCCAACTCAGCCCCTACCACAGTCCAGACAGCATGCTATTCCTACGCAACAGGTGCAAGCTGCTCAACAACGTGAGCTACGCAACACTTTTAACGTTACTGTGTTTCACTTGCCGATTTATCACCCATTGTTGGTCAGTTTAGGTAAATAGGTGTGGACCTGGCTCTTATGAATAGTGCCCTGGCACATGTGAGGTCGATCTCCCGTGGTGCTGCAAAAGTGACCTTTTAAAACGCGATCCACCTACCGAGTCGGATGCAGTTTCATGGCGTTGCACTAGCTAAAGCAACTAAAACGCTATTTGCAAAGCCAAATCAGTTAGTCGAAATACCACACAGGTCGTAGCTACCACTGGTTGATTTGGTTTTGATGGCTTCTCACTTTGCAGTGACACAGGAAGCCAAATAACCACTCCCTTGGTTTTTGCGTTTTAGTGAACCCAACGACAATGGAAGTGACTCACACAGCGGTGAATGGTGGTGGTTCTGGTGGCACGGCAGTGGTGCCCCAACCAATGGCAGCGGCCACGGTGGCCGCGATCCAGGCACAGACTGCACCTCAGGGTGGTGCAGTCACCAGCGCACCGGCACGTGCACCCTCACCGCTGTTCGTATCTGTGCCACCACGCACCTCCAGGGTGCTCCACTCCGAGATTTACCAAAGGCAAGTTCACTTTGCCAC